GGTTGAACGAATTACAGATAAACGAGGTTCTCCTGTATTCAGTATATAATTTTATATAATACTTTCATGAATGTATATACAGTACATACTTCACTTTAACGAGTTCCACAATAACGACAGTTATGAAATGCGACTTCTCAACACATTAACGATATATAGTGGTCCCTCGATTAACGAAATTTCGGTTAACGAATTACCTCCCATAAGGATCTTCAATTCGGTTAACGAACAAAACTTCAAGTAACTAAATCCTTACGAACAACACGTTTTGTTGTAAGCATTGGCTAATGGGCTTAGTCTGCCAATTCAGTAATCTGTTCTATGTTTACATTTGTTTCCAGTGGGGTAAATATCAAGAAAGTTATGCTTTAATATTTTTTCATTTTTTATATTAAAATTATTAGTCATTTTAAAATTTCGTTAACATATTGATAATATATGCAGTACAGGGAACTAGTTTTTTGTGCGCCCATCAGCAGTTTGACTCGGCCAACAGGCGTCAGTCTGGCTTTGTTGACAGTGGAGTGAACATCTATTTTGTTGGTGTCTTGAATATTTTTACATTTAAATTATTGGTCATTCTGAAATTTAGTTAACATATTGATAATATATAGCGCAGTGCAGTGTTGCTTTAAATAAAATAATCTTGAACTACACCTAGTGAACTTTAAATTTTATGGGTGAAATGATGGCATCAAGCATGGGTCCCCTGAAAGGTGATTTCTCCTCCATCCCCACTTCCTTCTCTCCCACTTCTAATTCCCATCATCATCATCATCAACCACCAGGAACCTTCTACATACACACCTCAAAGTAAGTGTACTTTACTGCATTTTTTTTTACTTTGTATGTACTTTTCGGTAAGCTGGAACCAATTACCCAATATCCCATTGAAACAATGGATTCTGTTAACGAAATTTTTGGTTAACGAATGACCCTGTGGAACAAATTGTGTTCGTTAACCGAGGGACCACTGTATTTCAACACAATAACGACAGTCATGAAATGCGACATCTCAACACATTAACGATACATTTCAACACAATAACGATTAGTAGTGCAAGTTGATAGTAATTCTGGGCGGCCATCTTGATGACGTCAGCGAGCAGGGCGGTTTGTTTTGATCATTGTGTGTCAACAGGCATGGTGTAACCTACTAACTTACCTGTGAGTCGACATTCAAGAGGGAGATGACGGCACTATTGATGATAATGTTCAAGATTTACCTGTGTGTGTGTGTGTGTGATGTTAGATGATTCATCACTAGACTTCACAGGCTTTGAGACTGAAGGATCAGTTGGTGGTGGTGCTGGGGAAGCAACGCAGTGTAAGAGTGTGGGGACGGGGGCAGGGGGCCACTTAACACCACTCACCTGCCTCGAATGGCAGCAAACAGTCTCATTAAGCAGTTTAGTGAGTGTCTAAAGGTTAGTTATTAACTCTACATGTGGTATTAATGTGTGTGTGAATAAGTGGTTGTAATTTTTTGTGGGGTTTATAGGAGGTGAAAGTGTCTGAGGGCTGGTACCAATTGACCCATTTAGCATGTAAACTATACTCGACAGATTAACAGTTTTCACTGTAACAACCGTTTTCGTGGTACCAATTAGTCGTTGAAGTGAAGTACAGACTATTTATTGTACCTGTTGGTGACTTGTTGCTCCGTAGCTCTGTTGGGATGTGCCCCCAACTACATGCTCCTCTAAGTCACTCCATTCCTTCATTTTTATTATTTTATCAACGTGCATATTATGCAGTGTGGAGTGTGTCTGTCTGCAACTCATGTACAATATTTTTATACAGATGACTACGGGAGGGTAATGGCTTGTTTGAGTAGTGGTGATCTTCCTGATGTGGATTTCCAGTTACTCTTCCTTGCAGCTGCCAGACGTGGTCAGAGAGATATAGCTTTACTGTTGGCAACATGTGTTCCTGATCTCTCGGTTCAAGATGAATGGGGAGAAACTGCACTGACCATGGCAGCAAGACGTGTAAGTTCATTCAGATATTGTAATGTACAGTATTAGGTCAGGAATACTTTTTATGGTTCAGTCTTCTCAGCGCTCCTTATTTTAATTTTGCTTGATCACCTAAACAGTCTTCTTATGCTTTCAGGGTGATATCTGGTTTGCATATCATCTTCTAGTTCTGGGTGTTCCAGTGCATGAACAAAACAATGAGAAACAATCTGCAAGGGATGTTGCAGCTAAATATCATCAAAAGCACTTCCTTGTATTTTGGGAGATGTATAAACAAAAGGGTGACCCATATTTACAAATAAAGTACGGAGATAAATAATACTGTATGTATTAGTCACGAGCATTGATAAATTGCACTTTTTGCTTATAATGTATCAGCGGTTTATTTTGAAAATACATTTTCATTTAAATTACACGTCTCCACACATCGTATATTAATAATAATGATTACAGTAAACCATCTCAATAACAGACTTATCAATACTGTACTAGATATTCCCAATAATGAGCATCTTTTTCATCCATATATTTAGTAACTTTATCTACTATTGACCAGACTCGGCACTTCAAATTATACAATATTTACAAGACCATGTGTCAAATAATGCGCTGGTCTTACATAGTGTTAAACATTTTAATATTACCTTCAAGCACTATTAATATATTTTATAATTTATCATTTTCAATACAAACCCATAATATAATAGATTTATGCATATTATGGGTCTGTACATTTTGATAAAAATAATTCATAAAATATATTAGTAGTTTTGTACATTAATAAAATGTTATTCTAGGAAATATTGTGTTTAACCTATGATCAGTGTGTTATTTGCTATCATTCTGTAAACATTATCTCAAAATTTTTTGTGCATTTTATCCCAATATCTCTGTTACTCTGTCAGCTTTATGCCATTCTAGCAAAAGGAAAGTACAAGTACTGAACCCCCATAAAGGAAAGTCAGATTTCTAAATACATGTACTTTAAAATATTCAATACCAATTATAAGATGTGCATTTTGATGGTAGGGAAAAAGTAACTTTCCCAATAAAAGAATCCTCTAAATTATGGAGAGGGCTTATACAAATAAGTTTAGTAATGAGAGGGTTTACTGTAGTAGTTTACTTTTTGGTAATTTCATTACTGCTTTGTGATACAGTAGTCTTATAACTGTGTAGAGAATTGGTTGTTATGGTATGCAACAATCAGCCCAGGTCAACTTTACACATTTTTTTAAGTTGTATATCACAAAAGTATGAATCGGGTAAAAAAAAAATTAGCAGTGAAAAAATGGTTTTAGAACTTAAATACCCTCTCATACATTAAAAATAGATACAAATTGTAGTAGTCACAAATTGTATATAAAACATGAGATATTCAAGGAGAGAGGAAAAATACTGAGAAATATAAACTGTTTATTGGACTCCGCTACATAAGACATCTGTAGGCACCCCCAGTGCCTACAGATTAGCCATCATACTGAGAATCAGGAAAGACATTGCATTAACATAGAGTACGTAATAGCGTGTATGCCGAGTTTTAATTGGCTGTGACTTAGTGTTTATCTTTAATTATGGTTTAATTTTCTATTCATTAAATCTTGTATATTGTAACATAGTTTGTTGTTCTTTATTATTACAACTTTGCAGGTGTATTGTAGAACATTCCATGTGCAAATTAAAATGTACTGTTCAAAAAGATGAAACTGTATGCCAAAGTTAGTCGCAAACATTTCTACACATTTGCTTCTTTCTCTTTTATCATTGCTTGTGTACAGTACAGTACTTTATATTAACTCAAATGGGTTAAGAAAACTACTTTATTTAGAAAATTTTGTCACTTCTCTTTAAAGAAACACTTTCAAAGTTTAAGTGGTCAACGTGTGAGTATGAAGATAGGGTTTGGTAATAATTTAACTTCTTTGAAGTTGTTAATTGTAATTCTTGCCTGTGTGATGTTGATAAATTTTACTGAGATAGTTTTAATGGTAGAAAACTGTAAGGAGATAATGGCTTAAGACCATTTTTAAGAGTTTTATAAAAAAGAAAGAAAAAAGGGTAATTTGTTTTGGGTATTACAGTATTAATTTTTTCGTTGTTACCGACTCGGAATTAAGCATCCATTACTATACTTTATTTTATTGTCCTTGCCACTGATCGGCCTGTTAGCCACTTAGGAGGTCAGTCAGTCACACCTCTGTTATACACTGTTGGGAAGTACTGGGCATGCACTGACTCCAGAACAAACTAAATATTTTGACAAGTACAATACTCACATCTTTCACTAATTTTTATGAAGAAATAAATTTTGGAGTTGTCAATATGTTCTTTATTTACTTTGAATATGATTCATTTGGACAGCCGGTTTCTATGGCAGTAAAAGAAACACAGACTCAAGAGAGAAATTTATTGCAAAGAACTTTGTCAAAGGAATGAACAAAGTGTGTATACCATGCACTTGTAAAGATCCTGCATTCAAGTTCATTCTACCATTAGTCAGTTCTAACTCGTCACCACAATGTGAGCCCAGACCATGCTTCCTGCCTTGGTGTTAATGTTTGGGTTTAAAGTGATTTATGCTGCTTTTATTGTCTTGTTTTCCTGTCTGTCTTTGGGAAGTATGCTGGCCTCCTTCCACCTCGGCAGATGTCCTGTGATGTTTGACGTCAGCCATATGCTCCCTTCTAGTAACCAGTCCCCCTACCCATCTCACCATAGTAAGACTTCCCACATGAGCCACATAGTATTCTGTAAACCATGTTGTCCTCCTTTGGTGCACAGGATACCATGTGGCTCATGTGAGAAGTCTTGTTATGGCGAGATTAATGCATGGTATACACATCCTATGCAATAATATTCTGAGTGTTTCCTTTGTTACCATATACAGTGACCTTAAATTTATTTTTATTTTTTTCCAACACAACCTAACAGTTGTATGTACTGGATTATTTTATTCATAAAACAATTTTACGATACAGTATCGGGTTACTGCAGGCTTTCAAAGTTAGTAAAAAACATCTGTATAAATTCTGCTTTTATTCATGATAATTGTGTACCAGTCATAGCATGTAGCCTACATTACATAGAAAATAATAAAAATTAAACTTAAGAAATCCTGACTAATCCTAACTGAGAAGGCTGAACGATTTTAGTAACTAACACTGGAAAAAAATCGATTGAATTTAGTATATCATTTAGAGGGTAATGACATTGGGGTTATCATAAATGTGCTTCAGGAGCCCATCCCAGGTAGTATGACAAGTGTGGCACGGCATTGCCATGACGAAGCCGACACGGACGCTACAACAAATGTTACAAATATACAGTGACCCATTACTACGGTGTCCGCACCAACGATCGGAGGTTCGGCAGCGACATTTCCGGGATACGTGAGCGCTTAGTACGGCCGACGGTCAGATGGGGTGTAACTGCAGCAATAAGGAGGGGGAGGGAATTAGTTCTAACTTGTTCCCTCCTGCAGAATGTAAGTTCCAAGAAAATAAACAAATATAAAAACTGCTTGACATGCCTATGAAAACTAGAAATACGTACCCTCATGAATGTGAGAACTGACAATATTATTAGATTCCTAAACAAAAAAAATAATTAAAATGGACTGTTATCTACATTGTACTCACCTCCGCATTGATGGAGGTGGAAATGGAGGTCTGCAACAGAAATTATACATATAATAGATTGCAAATGTCTTATTATGGTTAGTAAATCACCCTACCTATAATTCTACCTAGCATACACTATTTAACAAATTTAATCGGTCAATTAAATCTAAAACATTATTTCTATAATGTGTACAGTAACTGGAGAAAGTAAAATAATTTAAGAAACTCGGAGGCAGCATGATGGGAAACAAATATTAAGAAGACTATGAAAATCGGTAACTAAACACTGTAGCTTTACATTTTGGAGTGTCCAGCACCCCTGGGTTAAAATTCATGGGCAATCATACTGCATGCTGAAGTAACACCAAGAGTCCAGAAAAAAAAAAATGTATATATATCGCTTTTAACACTGTCAGGTGTGGCCCAGACATCCAAGGCTGCAAAAAAAAAAAACAAAGAAATGGCATGGAATCAGGAGCTGAAGCGGGCCTACTTTAAAATTTCCAGCATCAAACCAGAGCCGAGTTAAATAAATAAATTTTCCACACCATACTAATGTCTTATTAATTTTTGGATAAAAAAAATACTTTTCTCTCGGAATTTGAATTTCATGGATTTGTTTAACCGAGTACTTCCAGGTTAACGCACAAAAAATCAACTCGGAAAATCATAGCTGGCGAGAAATTATCATTGAAAATTTTCATAAAATTTTCCAAGGGTCACTAGGACCACTAATTACTCCGCTATCAAATTCTGGACCATATATTCTTTATCAGCACCTTCAGGAACACTACTTATGCTGAGATTTTTAACAATTCCAGTGATCAAGATTTTTGGCAGAAAGGGCAATCTGAAATAATACGCGCAGAGATTTCCGGGTGTGGAGACAAATTTCCCCTCCCTGCAATTTTTCCAGATACTGTAGAGTAAACCCTTGATTTAATGGACTAGTTGGGGGATGGCCGGTCCGTTAATGCTGAAAGTCCATTATATCCGGATCTGGAATAATAACGGACTTGGTCCATTATGTACCATCATAGTGCAAAGTGACTACGATTCGTTTACCAAGCTCGAGGGGCAGTTCACTTGCATGGTTAAGCACAGTTGTGTTCCCTCCCCTTTCCAGGAGAAAAAATTTATATAAGGAGCATCTAACACAACTACAGTAAACCTTCAATTTGAAATTTCATATAACTGCATGGATATGGTCTCGGAATTTATTATAAAATGACTCGAAAATGCCGAGTTATATAAATTGATCTGGGAAAATCTTGGCATATTTGGCCGTGTGGGTAATGACCGCTGCACTCCACGTTTGGTCAGTCTGATGTTTATTATTGTTGTGGTTGGGTGCACGCTGACTCACTCCACCCAGTACATAGATGCAGAAAGGGCGGGTGCTGGAGCACCCCAATATTTTAGGTATAATGTACTACACATTGCATCGCAGAGTATCTACTAGAATTAATATTTAGCACTCCTTGGAAAAATTTGGTTCCTGCGGTACTAACTCATTAACAACCAACAACCTCCCCCATTCATGTCAAGTCACTGTATGCAGAACATCTCCACTATTAAGGCAACTTCAATGTTATAGACTATTTAATTTACAGTTCAATTAGTTTTTATTCAAATTCCAACTATCTGAATCTTCCAGGTATCCCAACTTTGTCCCCTTTGGTAAAAATTCTAATTTAGTCCAACAATCCAAATGCAACTGAAGTCATTTAATCATGTGTCTGACACCGGTAGTGCTATAACCACTTAAAAAAAAAACTGATGTGATAAACACTAAAATTGATATATAGCATATCATAAAATACAATAACACGTATTTTACGTACAAAAAATAGCTCATTCTGCAATGAAACCAGTCGAGTTAACCAGCTGAATACAAGTAAGATGTGACTGGCTTGGGTGATTCAGTCACGCAATTCAGCACATTGAGTTGCCTTCACATACATTCACCTCAAACACACACACACACACACACACACACCCCCTACCTATCTATGCTCTTATTTTTCTTATTTTATAGTTTTATATTATATTTTCTTTAGAATAGCTACTTTAGAATATTTTAATATTTACTCTTTTGCTCTGTATTACAGAAAATGGTTTTACTAGGTGTGTACTATAATATCCTGAGTGATATAATTTACATGTTTATTTACATCCTCAGACTTTAATTATACACAGAGAAAACAATTATTTTTGCTAAAATTTATTCTTTATTTTGTATGTGACCAAATTACAATAGCGTACATAAGTGTCGCACTGTTTATGTAATATTTCCCCTCCATCACCTACCATGACCCTAAGTTAACTACCATGCCTCTAGCCTACTACAATGCTTCATTCTTCACCTGCAGTGCTGGTAAGTGTTACTTTTTTTACATTTAATAATTACATGTACAATCAAAGACAAAAGTCGTGTCGTGGTTTTGTCCGAAGATTAAATATAACTCGTGAAACATTATGAGAGCCCTACCACAAGACAGAGCGCACCAAAAGTTTAGCCCTTCGGCATATGTTTTCACCAAATTTCACGACACGACTTTTGTCTTTCATTGTACACATATATGGGTTGATAATTTTTTATTGTTGTATTTTTGTAGGAAGGGGAAGTGGCCTGATAGGTTGGAATTTGGGATAACTCGGCAAGGCCAGAGCCCCATATGTGCCGAGTTATCGAGGGTTTACTGTACTGTATATGCAAGGGTTGTTCATCAATACCACTATCATTCTATTCCTGGTTGTTTAATGGCTAACTATAACACCTTTCAGGCATATAACTCAATAAATGTCTCTGTCAAGGGTGTGAAGTGGTGGTGTTAATGTCTTGGCTGGTTGGGTTGCATGTCCCCAATTTCCCTGCTTACAAATATTTATGGCACTCGATACACTTGGGAATTTGGGTATTTATTTTAAATACAAGCATATACAGTCAATCCTCGACTATGACGGGGTTAGGGACCAACGACCAGGTCGTAAGTCGAAAAGGTGAAAATAATACAGTGGTCCCTCGGTTAACGAGATTTCGGTTATGGAGTTACCTTCCATAAGATTCTTAACTTCGGTTAACGAGCAACGAGTTTCTTACGAGCCGACAACATGTTTTCGCTTGCATTTGGCGGTCCACCAGCTGTAGTATTAATCCGCCAATACAGTAATCGGTTCTAGGGCTCATATTCCTTACCATTTTAGTAAATATCAAGAAGTTTATACTATTCAATAATTTTAAAAGTTTAATATTAAATTTTTTAGTCATTTTAACAATTATTGAACATAATTGAAGGTAAGGAAACTAGTTTTATGCTCGCCATCCAGCCTGTCAACACACCAAACAGGCGCCAGTCTCTGTCTTTTCAGTGGAGGTAACATCTTGCTTGAGACTCTCTTCAACTAAATGCTTTTTTCTGTGTTTGCAAGCAAATTATTGGTCATTTTGAAATTTATTTTACATATTGACAATATATAATGCAGTGCAGTGTTGATTTAAAGAAAATAATCTTGAATTACACCAACAGAACTAAAATTTTATGGGTGAAATGGCGCCATGGGGTGACTTCTCTTCCACCTCAATGCCTTCTCCTCTCCCTTCTTCTCCACCCCCATTCTAATTCCCGTCATCATCATCATCCAGGAGCCTTCTACATACACACCTCAAAGTAGGTGTACTTTTCTACCTTTTTTGTTGAATTTAGGTAATTTTCGGTGAGCTGGAACCAATTACCCAAAAAACCCATTAAAACAATGGTTTCGGTTAACGAGTTTTTCGGTTAACGATCAACTTTCTGGAACGGATTGTGCTCGTTAACCGAGGGACCACTGTACATAGAAAATCTAAAATGGGTGTCTCTTTTTCTTCTCAGCACCACGAGAACTCCCATTTTACGCTTGCCAGCCATTTTAAAGGGAATTACAAACGAAAACTTTTTTAGCACACAGCGCGATCACTAACGTCGGGACTCGAAAATACGTAATTTTAAAAATATTTTATACGACTGCGGTGGTCGTATGTCCGGGTGGTCGAAAGTCAAGGAGTACCTGTATTGTTTTCATGCTTGTATGTTTTAAAATACCAAAATTCAGTAGCTGCATCAAGTGCCATAAATATTTATGTAGTATGAGCAAAATAATTTTTTGTATACAAAGTTGCAGCATTTTTTTATTTTGCATCAGTGGGGTCTCATTTTAACCGGCCGATTGGTTGAAATGTATAGTTAAAGCATACACGGAAAGCCATGGGTAGTGATCTTTCGCTTATTTAGGCTAATTCGACAAAAAGGGAGCTCTGAGTCACTCAAATTACTGAAAAATCCGGTGCTTGAGAGATGATGAGTGCTGGCAACGTTGATTCAACAAGTTTTGTTTAATATTAAATGTACTAGAGGGAATATTTTCTTAAGAACATGACAAATTTATCGAGTCAAATCATACATACACAATAGTACACTACAAGATGAAAGTAGAGTAGCCTAGACCCACATACGACACTGGACAGTGAAACATTGAGTGCGGCTGCTAACATCGCTTCCACCCCTCGCCCGCCAATTCCTGCGTGTACGGTGGGGGGAAATTTTAATATTAATTATCTTCCAAACGCAGTTAATGGGTGTCTGATGTGGTTAAATAGTACAGCAGTGTCAGTTTGAATTAATAAAGCACTGTAAAACCCTGGCTTGGATAAATGATCGGGAGTAAAATTATCACCTACTTTACTGTATATTGTACTCGCCAACAGATGTTGTCATCATGAGAGTGTAGGCAGGCCAAATGGTGGTATGATGATACAGGATGGCCTGCTTTGTCCTGTACCATCTACTGTGGCAACTTGGTGTCCGGGGTTTTTTCTGTATGCAAACGCAGTCTACTCTGCTATGCATGGTACCGTACATATGGAATTCACACTGACAAAAGAATGTTAATTTACAGTAAAAGTACACTGTAATCACTGTTTATGTCTTAACACTACTTTAACATAGTATTCTTGGCTGGCTTATGTCTTGGTATAGTAATGGACAGTACAGTACTGCACAACACAGATTGTATACAAATAGAGCAGTGAGCAAGGGAACAACCATGTAAAATTGCGGCAGACTAAAAATTAAGCACATTATGATACTATGGCTAGAGGGCATTAGCTGGGAGATGCATCAGCCATTCACAGGCATCCTATGAAGTCACATGACAGTCCAGTATTAGCCAATCACAGCGCGTGAGCCTGCAGCCAAAGTTACCCAAGCAGCTAGCCCACCTACGTGATATAGTGATTTTAATGTGTTAAATAGCATTGCTTGTGTGGATTTCTGATGCACAGACGTGTACCAGCACGATATTCCTGCGTAAACTGGGACCCCACTCTATATATACATACATCAATTTCCCCATTAACACCATTTCATTATAACGTTGTTGAAAAAAAAAATTATGAAAATGATAAATGTACCAAAATTTAAAAAATTCAGTATGAAGACACTCAGCACCTGATTGTGATAACAGCTAGCTGTGTAAGCAACCAGCGTGGGCGCCATATTTGTTTGTTATTGTTAGGTGGTTGGTTGATGCTATTCCAACATTTACTTAAAATCCAGTTATAAATTTATTTGAGCCCTAGAACAATGAGTGCCTAATATGCAATGTGCACCACTTCAGTTTGTAGTCACAGAAAGAGGAAAAGTGTTACATTAGAAGTTAAATTAGATGTGGTAAAGAGATTTGAAGGACAATGAGCTGTGGGCGTAGCAAGTGCTGTCGGTTTGCAGCCTACAACTGTAGATATGAACAAATTGTGGAAATACAGAAAATATCGAATCGTACTAAAAGTTTTACTTCATTATCTGCTACAAAGTTAACTTGTAACAGAAGTGGCATTATGGAAAATATGGAAAGAATGCTGAACATGTGGATTGAGAATCAACATCAACAAAACTTTCCATGTTTGTTGCTCTCCATACATGCGAAAGCTTAAGTTTATTTGAAACTTTAAAACAAGAAGGTGATAGTGCTGAAAGTGAAACATTTGTGGCAAGTCGTGGTTTTCAGGAACCTTACAATGAAGTTAATGACGAAATTGGTGTACTGTATATACTGTACAGTAGTTACTAACCCAACTAAGCTACTAGGTATGGTTTGTATGAAGCCCTATAAAATTGAAGTAGGTTAAAATAATCAATATTTATGAAATTAATGTCTATGCCTTACTCACCCACGCAAAGATGGAGGGGGTGGCGGGAAGCTGCAATACAAAACAAGACTGTGATAATTATGATAAAATAACCCCATTTTGAAACTCACACCAAGTCTTGTACTGGCAAAGTGGTTAGCCCTGGTGACATTAATATCTCATCTAGAAAGTATTTAGACAAAAGTTGTTATATAGCAATAGCTCAAATTTCCATCATCATCGTCACTGTCTTATGGCAAGACAGTGTCATTTAAAATTAGTTGGTTCCCTAGTGGTTATTACCATGGACTGGCATCTTGCTAATGTTAACCCCCTGTGTATTGGTCCCCCCTCTCACCTGAATAAAATCATCTGGCCTCAGCCAATTAATATATCAAAAGTGGCATCCCTGTAGTGAAGAAGTTTGACCTCACAAAGGCACAACAGCTGGTGTGCCGAGTATTATGGCTAAAACGTTTTCTTGTATTTTTTTGAGGATCCCATTTTTAAGCACTAATTTAGACCTCTAAAAATCAGCAAAGATTACTTTGTTGCCTTGTATACATAAGATATTATACAAAATATATAGCTTTTCCTACATAAGCAAATAAAATATATTGAACACAGAATTACACTCACCAGAAATTGTAGATCTGTAAGGAACTGTAGGTTGATCAGATAGACAGGTCAGTGCACTATTTATAGCATGAGACATGAGCTCTCTCTCTCTCTCTCTCTCTCTCTCTCTCTCTCTCTCTCTCCATGTTACATGCAAAATAAAGCAAGTCTAGTCTATTTTTTTAGGTTTCTGAATATGTTTCAGGAGGGTGAATATGCACGCATACTATGTGGCCCAATTACAATATAGTACAGTAGTTACAGCATAGTTAATAAGCACTCCAATTACAATGCAGTTTAAATTTAACTGTACAGTATAAATTATATGATGCCATTAAAAGTTTTGGCTGTATAAATTCCAATGTGCCAAATTCTGTATGCAATATAGCATAACTAACCAAAGTTTATATCCTTTGGCATAATTTTCATGAGCAGTGAGTACGTAATCACAAAAAAAACAGATGCCTGACAGTGACTGAAGGTTAGTTTAGGTTAGGTTTATAAAAATTAGATGCCCATTACAGTGACTGATGGTTTGATTAGGAAAGAGATGTTAGGTTAGGTTGATGTTAATTTTGGTGGGCAAACTATAAAAGGTCTTACAATGGCTTATTCTAATCAATGTGTCTGCTCTTCAAAAAGCTTAATTTTTTAAAATATCGTTCACAGACTCTTGAGAAATCCACACGTCTTTTAACTTGACAATTGCCCAAAATTAATTCAATAATGTTCTTTGGGACAATATGAGGCTTAGATCATGGTCTCAGCTGTTATATCTTCATAAAAAATCAAATGCAATAAAAAACAAGAGAACCACAAATGGCAGACTGTAATCCTGAAATCATTAAGAATCAATTTATACACCATCATGTACACTCGCAACAAAACGTATCGGTGCATACTGTAGTGTGAACAATTTGAGACCAGTGACGATAGGTATTGGGAAAGGCGAGTTGTTCCAGCCGTATGTTGGCAGCCCTGGTCAAGTGAAACAAACCGTTATAAATAAGGTCGGGAAGTGATAAATGGACAGTATGAAATATGAGGAGCTCCCTGTTAACAAAATTATTTGTGATACTTGTGAATATTGTCACATTCATTTATGCTACCAAATAAACCACTCAACCTGGTCGTCCTGAGGGGTGGTGCAGCGTGGACGGCCGCTCCGAGACCTGTCGTCTGTAGCGCCAGTTTCGAGGTATTGCCGAATCCATCGTGCAGCGGTGTTCCTGCAGACGCCGACCCGCCGGCTAATATCTGTGATGTCGAACCCTTCGTTATGAAGGGCAATAATAGCTCCTCGTGTTCCCTCTGAGGTTTCCGTATCGTCTGGCATGTGTAGATCTCTACTGCTTCATATTGCCTCTGTTTTATACCCACGTTCACCGAGACCGAATCCTCGCTCATTATTCAGTTGACACAAAGCAACAATCCGAAAAGGGGAAACAAACACACTGATTGTCAGCCATATGGCAACACCTAGTGGAGGGGGTTATGAGAATACACTTACCAACCTTCCCGACATATCACAGTGTATACGTATCATTTCGGAAGTCGTCTATCTCACCCTGCACCGATACTTTTTGGTACGAGTGTACATTGTGCATGGATACTTAAGATATGATTCAGCGACCAGAGCTCTAGTTCCAGCAACTATGACCTTCACCTTTGATCCAGTACAGGTATACCCCGAAAACCAATTGCCTGTTAACTCACTGCTTCACATAACCAACACTTACATTTAGGGAAAATACCCCGGCCAGTTTCATTGATGCCCCAGAGATCCGATGATTAGGAGAAGGGCAGCAGAACTGTTTTGATTTTGCCACCAGAGGGCTGTGTGCACTGCCCTGACTCAGAGTCGTAGATGAGAGAGTTCAGCCAACCAGACACCATGTTTTTATGGAGATGATGAAGAAATTTGCTCTTGTACTGTAGAGGATGATGATGATGAAGTTGTTTATTCAGTAAAATTGTCATTCACGTTTACAATTATGTAAGCATCTTTCCAAACTCAGTGGTAGAGAACCCGAGAAGACTTCCCACCTGCTGAGTAACAATATGGCGCCCAGTTGGCCGAACTCTATCTATGGCTCTGCCCGGACTTATTCCCACCATCTTTGCTCTTGTTTACACTTAATATGTGTCTCTGACTTCAGGTTTTTTGTCATTTCCAACTTCATGTGTTACGCAATCATGCCTAAATGCCCAAGTGTTAGTTCCTTTTGTGCTGGGCAGCTTAATGTAATGTGATAAGGCATAATAAAAGTGGTGATGGACCAGCAAAGATTTGTAGAGACTTGTAATTGCCACCCTAGACCATCTTTACCATTCTCAACACAGGTAAATAATATTCTAGATTTATGCTCTACATTGCTTATTTATGGCTTATTATACTTGCTTTATATGTCTGCTTTATTTTCTTGCTTGACAGTGAGCAGTTCAGAGATACATCTTGGGCAGATGGGAGTTTTTGGAAGGTGACTGGTCCCTAAACCCCTGAATTTTTCTGTTCTTATAGGGTTAATTGCTTCAATAACTGTCGATTCATTAAACAACGACTTTTCCCACTCCCTATATGCGTCGGTTATCAGGATACACCTGTAATCCTAAAAATAATAGGGGCCTCCAGCCTCCCTCTCCTTAGGTACAACAGGTACCTGTGCATATCAGGTTCGTCAGTGCATGAAACCCAGGGTTACAAATGTTGAAACAATCAACTTGACTTCTCAGTAACCCCAAATTCAATACATCATGGCTAATTGTATGGATAAGTTCATCATGCTGCCTCTCACGACGTCTGATAAACTGCGTTCATCACATTGTTTCTCACTTGATGTTAGGTTTCTCAAGAACCATCCAATTACAGTGGGGTATGCTATAACGAATGGATTCTACTACGAATATTCCTATAACGAACGGTTTTACCTATAAAATTGAGAATGCTATAACGAACAAAACTCCTACAACGAATTTTTTTTTTTTTTTTACTAATTTATTGTTTTTTTATGACAAGTATTAATGATATTCTTTATTTCAGGGGTTTAGATGCATATTTATGCACTTTTTTACACTTTTTACAATTTTATATTATATTTTTCAGTGTTAAGTGGTTGTATTCGGGGGCCTGAAACGGATTAATCCTATAACGAACAAGGTTCTAGAACCAATTAGATTCGTTATAGCATACCCCACTCTACATTTTTGGCCAATGTGAGAAACACTGCAACGAGATGTGTCCATACGACCCCTTGGTCAATTTAATAAAGACCTTGTTCTACATAAAGTAAAACACCTGTGTAATACAGGGGTATTGTGTTCACTGGTATGTGAAGGATATATGAGCAATAGGGGTTGGGTGTAAACGGGACGGCCTAGTATGGGCCAATAGGCCCGTTGCAGTTTCCTCCATTCTTATGTGGAAACTGTTTTTAGTTTAAATATCAAATGTCAACTCATATGCTACACCATACCATTATATATTACAGTATGCTTTATGCTGTAGTATAAAAACAAAAGAACAACTACAGGGAGAACTAACCGAGATGGTTGTGGATATCGTCCATGTTGCGGGTAATCGGGATAAGGAAGTACAGGTGGTAAGCGTGGTTCATACATGTCCTGAAAAAATAATAATAATAATAATTACTGGCAAATTAAAAACTGAAAATTTTAGTAATTTTTATACTTTGTTATTATGATGAAAAGATCATTCACCAAATATTTGCTGCAATATCATTAAACATGACTTACCATTTTGAAGCCATGGGCATGAAGAAAGTTATCTGGAAGACTCTACCAAGCGGAAAACCCACTGGCAAAGCCTGGTTGTCCAAGGCACTTGAATAGTTTAGTGACAAGTTGTAAAGGTCAAAGGTCAGTGAAGATTATTGCTAAGCCATCCCCCCAGTCACTGAACAAAGAATGAATTCATGCTTTGAATGCTTTGCCCAAAGGCTAATTCAAAAGCCTATAATATAAGGCTTCAGGTTCACCAGTATGGAACCTACTTTGAGAGTTCATCTATGTCTTCATATCCTACACAATTGTTTCAACCCTGATTTTTTTCCTTTGATAATGAAAACCATTATATCTTCTTTAAAATTTGAGATTTTGTGCTCCATTCCTCCATTTTCAGCCTATGGGGTATCGCTTCAAACAAAGTGGTAAACCTCTATTTGCGATGGGATTAGGTTCCTGAAAACCCCATCACAGGTCGAAATATCATAAATCAAGTTCATTATAACATGAGGTTCAATGGGTATAGGTTCCTGGCCAGTCGGCCACCCATATGTATCACCGTGAAAAAATCTTAGAATACTACTAGCACTACAACACCCACCACATCATTAAGAACAAGTCTGGTAATCATCACATGTCTCCTTCAAGGCTAAGGAGACTCTTAAGGTGGAGTGGAGACACGAACCCGAGTCCCACACAGACACCAGGGAGTGTGAAGAGTGGGAACTGGTGATGTAGCCTTTGTTCTAGCCTTAAAGATGGTGAGCAAAACACTTGCCAGACATTTTCAAAATTACACTTTTCACTTCACTTCAGTCACAAAACATGATAATAATCATGAGGCAATGTAATATTTTTTCTTTTAATTATTATTTTTGTTTATTCCTCACATTCACTGGTACAGTACACGCGTGACACAGTTCATCCGGCCAGTCACCAAGCTGACTCAAGGACATGTCTGGTCGCTGCCTGTATGCCATGATGTCACATAGGGGGTAGGGAGAGTGAGGCTGGCCACAGTCAATGCCTCAATACAGACTGTCACTTCCCACACACACACCAAAGCTCTTCATTTTATAATTTTACAGAATACTGTATACGTACAGTACTATAAAACTCTAAAATGTTATATTGTACAGTGAGTTCTGCTATAACGCGTGTTTTGATAACGCGAATTTGCTCTAACGCGATTTATGAATTCGGAACAATATTTGTATAACGCGAACGCTTGTTTGCTATAACGCTATTTTTGCTTACTATTTCTCCAATTTTGTGGTATTAACTGTGATTATGGTAAAGAAGAATATCTCCAAAAAGCGTTCTGATGATAGAATTCCCGGTGATTATCGTAAAAGAAAGGATATAACACTTGAAGAGAAGCTCGATGTTATCAACCTCAAAATCACCCTTCTCCCCCATCAAGTTACATTCTTATTTTTTCAAGGTAAAGTGTTACATTTACTGTATGATTTCATTATTTGATATGAATGTAACATTTATTTAGACTGTGCTATCCTTTGTGTTAGGCTAACTACTAAATTTTTTCGATTTCGAGTAATCTGCACCTAACCCTATTTTCTCCATAAGCCCTGTTATTTCTATTACGCGATTTTCTATAACACGATATTTTACAAGAACACAATTATCGCGTTATAGCAGAACTACCTGTACTGTACTGTATACAGTACAATATTTCCTTTATTTATACGCCACATTATAATATTGTAATAATGCACACTTGAAGCACACAATCCCCAGTTTTTCCCACTTCCCTCCCGAATTTTTCCCAGGAAGTCGAAGGAAGCTAAATCCAAAATTGCAGATTGTTAAACAACAACAAGTGTTAAAAATTTTAATTCGCCCAGTAAAAATCGCTAAACAATGATACCTCTATAATGGCCTTTTTTCACACTGATTTAGTTAGTGCTCTCTTCTCCAAGAAGGCGTTTGGAGCACTAAGCGAGGTGTTACTGTACTGTATAACTAATACAAAAAATTATTATATATTCTCATCATCTATCTTATACAATAAACAGACAAATAATACTGACCCTGTCTCGTATCATGCGGTCTCTGACATATCTGTGAGGAGGTGGTGGTGGATAAGGTTCATATCGAACAGGTCCAAAGCTGAAGCCCTGGTCTGAGTATCCACCTCCAGCCTGTCTGCCACGTGAAGTTGACTTTTGCACTGTCAGACGCATACCATGCAGCTCATGCCCATCCAATTCTCGAATTGCTTTCTGGGCCTGAGCATCATCATCCATATGCTACAAATTTAAAAATTATTAAATAACTTGAGTCAATACCAGTAAGGCAAATACATTCAGTGAAACAAAGAGGCTAATGCTTACTGACTAGTTCCTCTAGTTTTTAAACTATCAATTATTTGCTGTAAGAATAAACTGGAGCATTTTAATTTTACATCATCAATTAAGAGCTTAACAAAATTTGATATTTATTACCAATAACATATGTCTCCCACTCCCCATGCCATCGACAAAGATCATTCAATACTGGCAGATAGTAGTACACTGGCTAAATTATGACCCACAAATCCTAGTCACATGGCCTTTGAGAAAAGGCCACTCTGGCATCTCTAAATTTTCTATATTAAAAAAAAAAAAAATGAAATAATGAAAGACCCTTCAGCCACTGTGGGCCAAAAAATTATGTAAGGTATGGGGGACCATACACGAAGACCGGGACATTTAACCATGAGTGGGCGTCACCATCACCCGTGTGCCGTATGCACACATACAAAACCAGATCACCCTGAGCTTGTGTGTCACATTTTCATGTTGCTATAAAATTATACATCATTGATCATATAGAATTTATTGTGTGTGTGTGTGTGCATGCATGTGTACACATTAAGAACGTCAAGGCAAAGATATCAAGGTAATAATTATCAGCTCACTCATGTGGATATGCTACCCCCACTCGCCCCGGGCTTTTAGTTAGCCGCGTTGCCAACAGATGGCGTTGATCAGATCTCAGTGGCTCACGTTTTTTTTATCGATAATGGTAGGCGCTTTCCTGTCTTTCTTATATAGTCTTTGGTTTGGGTGGAATCAAGCAAATAAAAATGCTTTAGTCATCCAGATTGACAGACAAAGGCAACATGGCTCATGGCAATAACTCTTCAGCCCCAGAAGCTGACAGGTACTAAGCTACATATGAGATTTCTATTCTGTAAAAGGCACACCCAGGGGCTGTTGGGATCTAGAAAATATACATGGCACCAGTTAAAATATACTACAACATGGTAGTGAAGGAAACACGACTAGGAGATGGAGCTTTATTCCTGACGTTTCTTCACAAGCATTTTTCCTTTGAAAAAGTCTTGTGAAGAACATCAGGAATGAAGCTCCATCTCTTAGTCGTGTTTCCTTCACTACCATCTGTCCACAATGATCAACGTTCATTCAATATCAGTTAAAATCACGACAAGATGGCAATTACATATACTGTAATTAAATCACAAAAATATGATAATGACCAAGAATATGTGGTATTCCAAGATACTTACAACAAATGCATAGTTGGTAAGAATGCCGACCTCTACCACCTTGCCATACTTTTCAAAGAGACTCTTCAGCTCCTCACGTCCACAATTCCTGTGAACGTTGCCAATAAAAATTTTCGGTGTTTGGTTGCCACCTTTCCTAGTACCAGTGGAGGCCTCGGCAACAATTGGCTGGAATGAATGTCAAGCAATAATTTCTAAAAAAAAAAAAAAAATAGCTTTTAAAAGATACCTGGATAATTATAACTTGTTTAGTTTGTTAAATAGTTTTAATTACCTCAATAACATAGTCATAACAAAGTTATTATCTTCAACTAATGCAGAAGAGGAATCTGTTAGTTCATTGTAGCAAATCACACTCCCATGACAGGCAAAAACATTGTACACATTAGTTTGGCAGTGTTGTAGGCACAGAGGGGAGGTAAATATGTGAATGCTGTATCAAAATTTCTCCAGTGATGAAAAGATGTCATCAGTTAGATTTTCAAAATAGGTAGCTACCCTTTGTGTCTGTAATCAACCAAAACCTTTGTAGAGATGTTAAATTTAAAGTAGGCTAGATAATCTTATTTGGCTACAGGATGAGGGATAGAGTTGCTTGCACTGGAAGGTTATTCTTCAGATTACAGTATTGCTTCAGCTGCTGTTAGATTAAGGCCTCCCAGGTACTTTGGTAGTCACTTGTTGTTCTAAATAGGTTTAAGTCACAAAAATAGAGTGAAGTAAACATAAAGGAAGACAAATTGATGATGAAAGATAATATGAAAAAGAATGAATTCGTACCTTTCCACGAAGCATATGACAATTTACTGCTTTGATTGCTGCAAGGCCCTCTTCTTTCTTTTCCATGTGGACAAAACCATAGTTTTTCACAACATCTGCCTCCACCACAGTACCATAAACTTCAAAAACTTCTCGGAGGTCTAAGCTTGTAGTGTGGTCACTGAGGTTCCCAACAAATATCTTGAAGGAATCTCCCTTTGTGGAAGTCTTGATTTCAATGTAGAAAAGTATATTTTTAGTAACATACAGGATAAAATGTCACATACAGTAAAACTTGGCACCATATTTACAGTACAGAGTACTGTACACAAATAATGTTTTAAATATCCGAGTCTCCATCCACTGAGAAATATAGTTACTTTTATCAACCAGCCTAATAGAATAAAAGGAAACACTAATAAGGGTTCAGTGTATAAGAATGAAATCCCAGGTCAAGTAAGAAGTACACAAATGAGTCTGCACCAATAAGGTTGATGGAACCCCAAAAAGAGGTTTAGGTGTTTTAAGAAAGTAAGGATGCACAATGACGCATGAGAAGATGGCTTGTATCAGACATCAACCCACTCAACCATAGGGTTATGCATACAGTACTGTAGTAGTCTAATTTGAATAAAAATGAAAATTCTCTCCCCTTATTTTAAGAGATTGAGATCAATACAGTAAGCATAGTTGGCATTCTAGCCCACAAAAGATGACTTGGTGTCACAATATCGTACATTATCAAGTACCGAGATTAGACTACTGTATGTGATGCTAATTGGATAAAAGGTAACTGAAAACTCAAAAGTTATCTCATGCAGGGGTGTGATAAAAATTAAAATCGGAAGCACATGGAGTCTGCGTTATTCACATACAGGTCCCTGACTTATGAACGTCCACCGATACGAATGGGGTTAAACTTGAAATTTACAGTGTTTTACTTACCTGATGACTTACTTTTTACTTTCATTTACTGTATTTTGTCATATTTCTAATTTTTGTTTTAAATTAAGTGATTTTAGATGCATACAAGGACTTAAGCAATGATATAGTAGGATTTTAAACATTGTTTTGTAAGTACTGTATGCACATAGCATGTGTTCCGACTTACGTACAAATTTGACTTACGAACGTCCTGAGGAACATAACCCGGGGACCCCCTGTACCCATTACTTGCTTATAAGTATAGCAGTTTTTACCACCCAAAAATTTTAATTCGTATGCCAAAATCCGACCTTTGACATTTTGATAAAAAAGCCTGATTTTCTCGTATATCTCTTGTATAATACAACCCTGGCTTTTGAGAAATACTAGGTATAATCCTAGACATATTTTGTAACAAGTTATGAAATTCTCACCAACACATTTTGACCTTCATCACCATAAAAATCTTTTTCTATAACTATAATACACTTGGTAGGTTTGTGAGAAAAGATGTCAGTTGTGTCGCATCTTACGTGTGGGTCACATTCCGAAAAGGGTACATACAGTAAAGCCAAGGATGCGTACGGTCAAAATTACCCTTGAAAATTCCTTAAACACCCATGAAGTACATGGTTATAAATACCTGGCAATAGCGAGTCTGGCGACTCGGCTGGTTGGGCCTATTTCAGTTTAAATGCGCACCACCAAAATGTGCCAAAAAAAAAAAAAATTATCAGTCAAAAACATAAAAGGAATTAATCAAAATGTGTGTAGAAGCAAGTACTGAGGGTGGGAGGAAGAGAGCTTCAGCTGGCGTTTCCTCACTCTGCTACGCTCTCACCGCCTCCTACTAAATGACAACGCAGGATTTTTTGTATTTATTTATTTTTTTTAATCATTCCTCATTTACTGGTACAGTATATATTGTTGTATCCAGCTCTCGACACAGTTCAGGCAGTCACCCAGCTCAGCCGACTCACAGACGTGTGGGGGCCACCGTGGTGTGGGTGTATGCCATGATGTCAAATGACGTATTTAAAGCCCAGTGACCCACTGTTTCATAACACACTTACGTCTCACATATTCTCTTTATTTATATTATTCTCTAGTTTTATATTATATTTTACATATTTCTTAGCCACATTAGAATATTGTAATGATTTTTTCACAACTTTTACAGTTTCATTACAAGGAGCAATATACGAGGCGGCTGGGCTGGCAAGTCGGTCACATACTGTAGTTTATAGTCAAGGCCTTGGCTAGAACCACCTCCATACACGTTCACTTCTCACACAGTATAAACCCTTGTTAACTCGGCATTCGATATCTCGTAATTTCATATAATTCGTCACAGACATGATCTCGGAATATAATATAAAATAATTCTGGAAATGCCGAGTTATATAAATTGATCTGGGAAAATCTTGGCATATTTGGCCGTGTGGGTGACGCCCGCCGCACTCCAAGTTTGGTCAGTCTGATGTTTATTATTGTTGTGGTTGGGTGCACGCTGACTCACTCCACCCAGTACATAGATGCAGAAAGGGCGGGTGCTGGAGCACCCTAATATTTTAGGTATAATGTACTACACATTGCACCACAGAGTATCTACTAGAATTAATATTTAGCACTCCTTGGTAAAATTTGGTTCCTGCGGTCTAACTCATTAACAACCAACAACCTCCCCCATTCATGTCAAGTCACTGTATGCAGAACATCTCCACTATTAAGGTAACTCCAATGTTATAGACTATTTAATTTACAGTTCAATTAATTTTTATTCAAATTCCAACTATCTGAATCTTCCAGGTATCCCAACTTTGTCCCCTTTGGTAAAAATTCTAATTTAGTCCAACAATCCAAATGCAACTGAAGTCATTTAATCATGTGTCTGACACCGGTAGTGCTATAACCACTTTTTAAACAAAAATTGCTGTGATAACCACTAAAATTATTACACAGCATACCATTAAATATAAGAGCACATATTTTATGTACAAAAAATAACTCTTTCCACACTCAAACCTTATCTAAGCGATGCCACAGTATGTGTGTGTGTGTGTCTGCTGTGATGCCACATGGGAGGGAGGGAAGCAGGTGAATCAGCCACGCAGTACAGTGCACTGCCTTCACATACATTCACCTTATGCAGCACACACACACCTACCTATCTATGCTCTTATTTTTCTTATTTTATAGTTTTATATTATATTTTCTTTAGAATAGCAACTTTAGAATATTTTAATATTTACTCTTTTGCTCTCTATTACAGGTGTGTACTATAATATCCTGAGTGATATAAGTTACATGTTTATTTACATCCTCAGACTTTAATTATACATAGAGAAAGCAATTATTTTTGCTAAAATTTATTCTTTATTTTGTATGTGACCAAATTATTGTAGTACTACATATGGGCCACAGTGTTTAATGTTTACGTTTCATTCTCTCCATCACCTCCTCCGCCACCTGTGTTACATACCATTCACCTGCGTCACCTTCCATGCGTCTGTGTCGCCTACTACAATGATTCATTCTTCGCCTGCAGTGCTGGTAAGTGTAAATCTTTGATAATTAGTAATTACATGTACACGTATATGGGCCAATAATTTTTTAGTTATATTTTTTGTAGGGAGGGGGAAGTGCCTTGATATTTTCTTTATTTCTAAGCCACATAAGAGTTTTGTAATGATTTTTTGACAACTTTTATAATTTCATTAAAAGCAACAATAGACATGGCGAGTAGGCTGGTGAGTCAAAGACGTAGTTATAGCCCATCACCTACTCACACACGTTCACGTCTCACATATACACATCCATACTCTTCATTTTTCTTATTTTACAGTTTTATATTTTCTTTATTTCTAAGCCACATCGTTTATATAGAGTAGAATAATTGTAAAATAAATACATTTTTCTGAGGCGCATGGCGGGAGTAAGCTGGCTGACATGCCAGTCGGCTGTGGCCTGCGAGATGGTAAAGCATGTTGCCGTTGTTACATATAATTAAACTATAAAAGTTGTGGAAAAATAATTTCAATAATCTAATGTGACTTAGAAATAAAGAAAATATAATTTAAAACTATAAAATGAGAATTATGAAGAGCATGGGTGTGTACTCTGTGTGGGAGGTGATTGTAAGTGTGGAAGCAGTGGACAGTTTGTTAATAGGGCATCTGGCAACTAGGCTGGTTAGGCTTATTTCAGTTTAAATGTGCACCACACAACCACCTCTGCTGTAAATTTACTTTATCCTGTTTACCACTGATTGTTAAGTTGATTTCAGCCAAGGATATTTAGGAAAAATAATGAAAGCCTAAAAATGGAAAAATTATACAAGATAGTGCACACATTGCATCGCAGCTCAGCTGGGATGTGCTGCCTCTGCCGACTGACCCTTAGCAACTGTTGCAAAAGGTCAGTCGGCAGAGGCACAAAACCTAAACCCCCTCCCCTGCTCAGTACACATGGTAACTGAGGAGAGAGGCGCGGGTGGAAGTATCTCACTGCATCGTACTTTTTTCCCTAAGCCAAGCACCTAAAGTTGAATTCATGTAAGTTATATACGCATACGATGTGACACGACTGCATTGGTCAACATATACACCTATCCTATATTATGGTGCATAACTTTGTACCAGAGGACATTTTGCTTCACCAATTGGGTAGGGAGGAAAACCATATTTAAGAAAAATTGGGAGGAAAAGATAAATTAGGAAGCTGAGCTCTCTTACTTGGATGGGGACTAGAATCATAGCATGAACCATGAAAAATAATATATCAAATAATTAACAGCACTAAAATTTTCAAGCTTTTGGTAGAGTTTTACAAACAACATCATAATACTGTATAACAACTACTGAACATTACAACAACTGTCAACAAAATAGTAGACATTACCACACTGCCACTCACTGCAGAAGAACTTGTGCTCTGTTGGTCACCATGACCCTTCCTCTCAGTAGTGGAAGCCTTTACATCCATTACCTGAAACCAACTGCGCATTAATCACTTCTAGAAATACACCAATTGAATGAAATGTTACTCATCGTGCAAATAGTAAATGTAAGTAAACATTATACACCTACAGGTAGTTCTGCTATAACGCGATAATTGTGTTCTTGTAAAATATCGTGTTATAGAAAATCGCGTAATAGAAATAACAGGGCTTATGGAGAAAATAGGGTTAGGTGCAGATTACTCGAAATCGAAAAAATTTAGTAGTTAGCCTAACACAAAGGATAGCACAGTCTAAATAAATGTTACATTCATATCTAATAATGAAATCATACAGTAAATGTAACACTTTACTTGATGGGGGAGAAGGGTGATTTTGAGGTTGATAAAATCGAGCTTCTCTTCAAGTGTTATATCCTTTCTTTTACGATCATCACCGGGAATTCTATCACCAGAACGCTTCTTGTTGATATTCTTCATTACTATATTCACAGTTAATACCACAAAATTGGAGAAGTAGTAAGCAAAAATCGCGTTATAGCAAACAAGCGTTCGCGTTATACAAATATCGTTCCTAATTCATAAATCGCGTTAGAGCAAATTCGCGTTATCAAAACACGCGTTATAGCAGAACTCACTGTACATACAATTTCGATTGAGTGAAAATTATCTAACAGTAAAAAAAAAAGAAAACAGTAACAAGAATATACAATAAGATCAAGAAAAGTTTAGAAAGGATCAGGTGATCCATCCCCTACCATGATACGATTATACAGTGATATCTCCGTTAGCCGGAACAATTGGTGCAGAGCACTTCCGGGAATGAGAGATTCCGGGAAATGAGACGACTCTCTCAAAGCTGGAAAAAATCTCTCATCCCGGAATTTTCCGGGTAACGGAAAAATGTTCTCGGAAGTTCCAGAAATTGCCCATTACATCATCTCTCGAACACAGAAAAATATCCCTCATTCCCGGAATTTTTCGAGTAACGGAAAAATTTTCTCACAATTTCCAGAAAATGTGCCTGATTTTCATCTCTCAAACCCGGAAAAAACTCCCCCATCCCCGGAATTTTCTGGGTACCAGGAAAATTTTCTCAGAATTTTCCGGAAAATGTGCCCCCGGAAAATCATTTCCAAAGCCATAATTTTCCGGCTTTGGGAACGATTTTCCGAGAAAATTTCAATTCCGACTATCAGAGAGTTCCGAGATTGAGGGATTCCGGCTAACGAGATATTACTGTAGTGGCGCTGAGATAATTCGTGGATTAGGTACTGTACCAGAAGACATCGTGAATTATCAAATTGAGAATTATAGTTAAAAGATTTAAATGGAAATAATTAACCTAGTAAAACCAAGAAATACTGATAGTAAATTTGATTGATAACATTTTGGAACTGCTCCCCTTATATGCTATCAAACAGCTTTACACTAGAGTTCACAGAACTGTTTGCACATATAGAAAGCATGCCACCATCAACTGAGTCAACCAGTAGCATAATACCAAGACACTGTTCGTGTCACACAATATAAAACCCAAAGGCTTACCTTTCCATGAAGCATGTAGCCATCCAAGGCATCAATGGCAGACCGGCATTCCTCTTCTGTCTCCATGTGCACAAACCCATAGTTTTTCACTATGTCTGCCTCAACTACAGTTCCATGAGCTTCAAAGAGTTGTCGAATTTCTGAGCGAGTTGTATAGTCACTCAGATTTCCCACAAATATTTTATGAGTATTTCTCTGTACAGGTGTACTTGTTGCAGTCTAAAAATAAAGAGAAAAGATATACGACTAGTGTGAGATTTGTTATACGAAATAATTTGACTGCCCTTTGACTTTGATCTTAGATTTATTTTGTCCAATTTCATCGGTTCTTCCTTGACCAACACTCAATCTACCAGCCAAATTTTATTTACCATAAATTAATATGGATACTCATTTTTAGATTATATTTTTCATAAATTAAAAACATACCCTAATGTCCAAATCAGATTTTCCCAATACAAACTCTTCTTTACACTAAGCCAACACAATTATTCAGTGTTTGTGTACTACACTTCCATCTCACTGTGAAGTTTTAACATAACACATACAATCCATGGCTACAAAGTATTTAACATCAACAGTTTGGAATATGGAATAGCGCAGATATAAAAAGCATTTGTGAAAATGAAAGATGCATCTGGCAGTGATAATCAGGGTTTGCTCATGTGGTTTGGGAATATATTAAAAGAATGGGAAGTGAAAGATGGTTAAAGATCAATGGCGTGTACAGTAATCTCCATCAGCCAGAATAATTGGTGCAGAGTGGTTCTAGGTTTGAGAAATTTCTAGATACAGTGACCCCTCTGTTAACGAACTCAATCCGTTCCAGAAGGTCGTTAATTAACCGAAAAGTTCGTTAACCGAAACCATTGTTTCAATGGGTTTTTGGGTAATTGGTTCCAGCTCACCGAAAATTTCCTAACTTCAACAAAAATGGTAGAAAAGTTCACTTACTTTGAGGTGTGTATGTAGAAGGCTCCTGGATGATGATGATGATGATGATGATGGGATTTAGAATGGGGGTGGAGGAGAAGGAAGAAGAGAAGGCATTGGGGTGGAAGAGAAGTCACCCCATGGTGCCATTTCACCCATAAAATTTTAGCTCTCTTGGTGTAATTCAAGATTATTTTCTTTAAATCAACACTGCACTGCATTATATATTGTCAATATGTATATATTTCAAAATGACCAATACTTTGCTTGGAAACACAGAAAAAAAGCATTTAGTTGAAGAGAGTCTCAAGCAAGATGTTACCTCCAGTGAAAACAGAGAGAGACTAACTCCTGTTTGCTGTGTTAAGAGGCTGGATGCCGCGCATTAAACTAGTCACTTTACCTTCAATTATGTTCAATAATTGTTAAAATGACTAAAAAATTGAATATTAAACTTTTAAAATTATTGAATAGTATAAATTTCTTGATATTTACTAAAATAGTAAGGAATTTAAGCCCTAGAACCGATTAATGTATTGGCGGACTGATACTAAAGCTGGTTGCCCGGTCAGTGCAAGCGAAAACATGTTGAGGCCGGTTCGTAAGAACTTCGTTAACCAAATTTTTTTTCATTAACCGAATTGAAGATCCTTATGGAAGGCAGTTCGTTAATCGAAATTACGTTAACCGAGGTGTTCGTTAAACGAGGGGTCACTGTATAGAGATGAATTTTCTCATCTCCGGAATTTTCCAGGTACCGGCACAATAAATGTTTCCGCGTTGGACTGCAGTCGGACAGACTAAAAAAATTTTGTATTTATGCAAACACTACTGTACACATACAATATTTTGTAAATAAAAAAATATACCACTGTATACACTAAAGTGACTAGACTGTACAGTACTCGTCAGCAGATGCTGTTGTCTTGAGCTTGTGATGCAAGCAGGACAAATGGTGTTATGATGATACAGGAAGGCCTGCCTTTGTCCTGCACCATTTACTGTAACCGGTGTTACTAACTGTCACTCTCCTCTACCTCCACGAAAGAGGGAGTGTATACACAATGTTTACTATACATACACTTGCCTACAGGAGGCATACACTGTCCACTCTGCTATGTAAAGTACTTTCACACTTACTGACTGTACAGTACAGTACAGTATATGTAACAGTAATCACTTTTAATGTCTTAATACTGTTTTAATGGTAATCTTGGCTGATTATATGCTGGTACAGTAATGTACAACATAGATCATATGCAAAACTGCAGTGAGCGAGCAAACAAGCTTGTACAATGGCAGCAGACAATGAACTAAGAGTATCATGATGCTACAGTTTGGGAAAAAAGGCTGTAAGATACATCAGCCAATCATAGGCATCCCATGCAGTCACATGACAGTACAGAAAACCCTTGCACTTCCGGACCTCTCAGATACGGATTTAGGTTCGTCCAGGTGAGGTCTGGATGTGGCAAATTCATATCCGGTCTCTCTTTCTCAGTCTGTATGCCACGTTTACTCCCCCGCTGCTAAAATGGATCCTGTTTAAAAAGTAATACACAAATAAAAATTATTAATGTTGTTATTATTACTGTGTTATCATTACTGTAATATTATTTAATACAATTACAGTAAGTCCTTGCTCAACATCGTCCCGCTTAACGATGTTTTGGTACTACGTCGCTGAACTTTAGAGACCATAAATTTGTTTAACGTCCCGGTGATCCGATACTACAGTACATCGTTTTGCTTTGTCACATCCTATTTTCTACTGTGCATCACCCGCTCTTGTCTGGCCGCGCTACGCTCTCTTGGCTCGGTGCGCTGCCCTCACTCGCGGAACGTCACAGCGTCTCCAAGCGACGCCAAGCCAGTCTCTGTTACGACTTCACATCATTCGTGTGTGCTTAAGTGTTTTTGCTCTAAAACTGTACTCTAACTATTCGAAATAGCTTCCAAGCACCCAAGCTACTGATGCTAGTGTAGTGAAGAGGCAACATAAGACCATTACCGGATACCCTTGCTAAGAAAATGGATGTATTGACCCGATTTGAAAAAGGGGAACGTGCTGTGGACATAGCCGCTGTGCTTGGTCTAACCCCGACAACAGTGCGTACTATACGGACCAATGCTGACGAGATTAAGGTTGGTGCTGGAAGTGGTTCTTCTCTGAATGCTACTAAGGTGACTCGTACTAAAAGCAATGTGATAGAGAAGGTGGAAAAGATGTTGGCAATGTGGATGGAGGACCAGAATCAACGCAATGCCCCTGTGAACCTTATGGTTATCCAGCATAAGGCCAGATCCCTGTAAGGCAGAAGAGGGTGAAGGATCGAAGGAAGAGACCTTGACTGTCAGCCAAGGATGGTTTCAATGATTTAAGCATCGTTATAACTTCCACAATATTAAGATGACTGGTGAAGCTGCCAGTTCAGATACGGTTGTTGCCGAGACATTCCCGCCAGAATTCAAACGGATTATCCAGCAAGGAGGTTACTCACCGAAGCAAGTCTTCAATGTGGATGAGACTGGTCTCTTTTGGAAGAGGATGCCTGAGAGGACCTATATCTCCAAGGAGGAGAAAAGAGTTCCAGGTTTTAAAGCGGCAAAAGACCGCTTGATGCTGCTGCTTAGCGCGAACGCTGCCGGTGACTTCAAGCTGAAGCCTATGCTGATTTCTCGCGCTGCCAACCCACGGGCCCTGAAAGGTTACTCTAAGGATCACCTTCTTGTCATTTACAAGGCAAACAAAAAGGCATGGATAACCGGCGCTATATTTAGCCAGTGGTTAAACGTGTACGCCGTCCCTGCACTGAAGGAATACTGCGCCAACGAGAACCTTAACTTCAAAATTCTTCTGATCCTTGGCAATGCTTCAGCTCATCCTCCCAATCTCGACGATTTGCATGACAGTGTAAAAGTCGTATTCATGCCTCCCAACACGACAGCACTGATGCAGCCTATGGACCAAGGCGTCATCGCCGCATTTAAGGCGTATTATTTACGCTGTACCATGGCCCAGCTGCTCAAGGCTACAGACGGAGAAATAAACCAACTATCCGAGAATATTGGCGCGGCTTCAACATTCTTCATGCAATTGACAACATTGGCAAGGCATGGGAAAAGGTTTCAGAAAGTTGCCTGAATGGTGTGTGGCATAAACTGTGGCCCGAGTGCGTCAGCAGTTTTACGGGATTCACAGACTTAGTCCCAGCTGTGAATAGGGATATCCTCAGCTTGGCTAGACAGGCAGGCTTTGATGAGCTGGAATCAGAGGATATTGAGGACGTCCTGGCATCCCATACAGAAGAACTCGCCAACGAAGATCTGCAACAATTAACAGAACACAGTCCCGTTGAAGACGACGACGAAGAAGAACCTCAACGAACGCTAACTTCAAAGAGGTTGGCAGAATCGTTGAACATGTTCCAGCAAACAATGCAAATGCTTCTAGATGACAACCCAAACAGAGAACGTAGCTCAAAGGTTCAACGCAGCATTGAGGACAGTCTTGGTTGCTACACCAAGATCTATAAGGAGAAGAAGATGAGTAGCACCAAGCAGTCAACACTGGATTTTTTCGTCGCGGGACGGCAGGAGCTTCTTCACAACGGCCTGCAGCCGAGGAAAAGCAAACAACAACGTAGGAGGAGCAACCAGCGGCGGAGGAACCCCAGTCAGAGCAGGAAGCAGCTGCAGAGTCTCAGTGACTCACCACCCTCCTCCTCCTTCGCTCCACTACCCACCACACACTCGCTCTACCACCTCCTCCCATCGGTGAGTACCAATACAAACTCAGTACTGTAGTTCTATATACTATTCTCTATAGAAATGGCAATAATTTTCCGTATATGTAACTTTTTTCATGGGGCAAAGGGAGGCTCAGGAACGTAACTCCCGTATTTTATCTATGTCTTATAGGGAAAATTTATCTGCCAAATGTTGTTTTGCTTAACGTCGCATTTTCAGGAACGTAACCCCATCGTTAAGTGAAGACTTACTGTACTGTATATACTGTATTATTATCAACAATTATAATTGTTAATGTTATTAGCAATACAGTCCATGTTCAAAATTATGATTATCGTTAAAACGCCTTCATCACCCAGTTTATCCAGATATTTGCCACATCCGGACGCCCTCCCCCCCCTTAATTATCCAGAAGTGCGAGGATTTATTGTAGTAGCCAATTGTAGTTCACATACACACTTAGCCTACCCACCTACGTGCCTGGAAAGGAGAGATTTTCTCGAAATTTTCTGGAAATGCAGTGATGCAATCTCGGAAATTCATTCGAATACCCAGAATTTATCGGATACTATTGGAGAGTTCCAGAAATCGAAGATTCCAGCTAACAGAGAGATTACTTGGTAGACATTCTGAAAATAATTATAATTTTCTCTTTAGTAAATAAAAACCAATCCATATTTTCATAATTTCAGTAAATTTGGTTTAAATTTGTTGTGATAATTTTCTAGAGAATGTTTGTAATTGGTAGTTACGCAATGGAAGGCATAGTGTCCATTTCCTCAGATTTTGCTATAATGTATCTCCTCTACTTACAAACTTACGTACATACGAACAAACCTGTACATATGTCCAAATTTCCATTCGGTGCGAAAGCAAGTCATTAGTTCTACCAACACGCAATAGATGGCATTCGTGTGCTACTCCCAGCATTACCAACCAAGCGACAGCCATTTTAGTTGTTGTTGTCTCATTCTTAGCATTATAGTGGTGACAGACATTTAATGAGTTATATGCCTGAAAGGTATTATAGTTTGCCACTAAGCAAGCAGGAATAGAATGATAGTCGTGGTAATACACAACTCTCACATATACAGTAGTTGTGTTAGAAGCTCATTATCTCAATATTTTTTCTCCCCGGGGGGGGGGGGGGACCCCAACCATGCAAGGGAGCCTCCCCTCAAGCACGGTAAAATGATCGTCTACTGTATTTACTTAAAGAAGAAAAGATAAACACAAACCTGTTTTGAATCATGTTCTGCTGTGCCTTGACTTTGCAATCGAGATATACAAGTTTCCTTTGTCTCTACACCCTCAGCTGTGGCATCATGCTGAGCTGACCGTACCTTGGCAAGTTCCTTTGAGAAAAAACAAACAAAAGCAAAAAACAATATTACACATAAATCACAAAATTTTACTCATAAACATGATTCTTTGTACACCATAATAACAATAATAATAATAATAATTATAATAATAAAAAAATAGTGACAATAATAATTACAATACAGTTTGACCCCTCTTATCTGACAACTTTGGGACCAGATGAAAGACAAACAATACAGTACAGTATAAACTTATGTTAAATAGATTGTCTTTGTGCTATATACTGTAATGGTACATTAGCATTTGCCACACTTTGCCTAATTCCCCATAATAATTAGAATTTTTTTGTATGCAAATTTGATACACATCATAGTGAGTAAATTGAATAAGTAAACAGGCAATATAACAGTAATGTTTAATACTGTAAATATGTAATTCAATATTGGTAAATGTGTCATAAAATTATAAATGAAAAAACATCTAAAATCCTCACATCCCAAGCCACACTCAAGTCTTAGTTGAGCAATTGTATTCATAACACTCATGATGTGTTGTCATCAACAATTATGTGTACATTTTCCATACAAAAACACTTAAAAATTCATGAAAGCTTATGAAATACCAACAAACTAAACATAAAAAGTCCTGTACAGTATATCCTCTATTTACAATAATAATAATAATTAACAGTGTAGTGTAATGGAAATAAAGTTGCCAGATGCTGAAAACATACAGAAGACATACCACAAGGTACTGTACAGGCTTTGAGGAGCTCTGGACCATAATTTGCTAAGTGCCAAAATAGAAAATCGAGTTAAATGCTCAGGTAGGCATGTAAGACATTACAATAGTCTTTTCAGAGGACTCTCACCCACATGTACATGTTTCCAATTGACTCTCTTGACTTACCCAGGGGACAGAAGAGAGGTTGGAGAGTACAATGCAATACTGTACATAACACGTTTCAGCAATGTATGGCTCTTAGCAGGTAATGGTCCAGAGCTCCCCATGTGTTATGTACGGTACTGCATATAACATACAGCAAAAGGGGAAAGGGGTGGTTGAACAAAGGTTTCTATGTAAATTTAGTACAATAAAAAGAAAATGGAGTAATATATAAGATTTCTCCAAATTACTTATAAAAGATATCTACAAAGGTTGGTATGCAGCTGTTCTTGTCTGTGCAAGACCTTTGGGTTTGATATAGTAGTGATGTCAAACAAAAATTCATGTACAAGGACCTTTAGATGGCAGAAGGGTGCAGTGGTGAGAGTGGTAAGAAAGGAGAGAGAGGGTGACTGGCTCATAAGTTCATGACAAACTTGTAGTCATGGGCAGGTCTTTATTGTATTATTTACCATGCTCTACTTTGTACCTGTTTCACTTTTTATTAACCTGAAATATATTTCTAATTCATGTATCAGAAGTTGAATTTTTTCACCAAACTTTAGCAGACTTTCTGTGGTTTGGGGATTTTTTTGGTCTGGCACCGTTCTGGTCCCAAGGGCGCCAAATTAGAGGGAGTCAACCTGTATATGCACCAGTGATAACAATAAATATCTAGAGAAAAATGATTCAATACTATTTGTTTTTATGAATTTGACTGAAAAATGCAATTACCATCACCACCACCATCTTATGTCCATTATTATGTTTACAGGGGTTAACCATAATTATCTGATAGCAGCTCTCCAAGCTATAGTCTCATTCAGCCTCTCACATTAGGTTCTTATCTCCAAAGTCATTTCTTACTAAGTCTCCCCAATCATTATTGGCCTACCCCTTCACATTCAAAATCTTACATCTCTTCATTTAATTGAACTGCACGTGTGAACCTCTGAGCAAAATCTCATTACAGTACTTGTATTGCTTTCAATATTCATTTACTCTCGTAGCTGTGAACAGGTTCTCCTATCGCTTAACATCATAAATAAAATGAATGTAAACAAATCCATTTTATGAGGCATCCGCTAGTGAACTTAAAGAGGTTTATATTAAACTGATGTCAAAATTAAATCAATGGGTGCTAAGAGTGAAGGGTGTGATTATTAACATATGCTTTTCCTACAAAACAGGTTGCCAAGCCTCCCTGAATCCACAACATGATATCGTCTTACCTCTCTTGTGGAATCCAGTTCACGTTTTGTAGCCTCATAGAGTGCTTCAAGTTTCTCTAATCTTCTTTGTAAACTCTCATTTTCTTCGAGCACTAAGCCATTTTGGGCTATCTGGTTTTCCATACTATTTATCTGATCTATCTCATGCTCCATACTGTCTGTAGTAGTTTTACTAAATTTTAAATACTTAGAACAGTTTCCACTACAAATAAGCCAACAGGGAATGGTTCATGATTCCTCATTCTCTGCTGCACATCTTCTCTGTAAGTCCCAAGATTTTATAGAAATCTTGTTGTACTTCAACCTGTAAGAAAAAGTAAGTCAATAAGAAAAGAACGGTGCAATTTTTGTTCCACATTTAGTAACAAGCAATTACCTTACAGACACAGGGTCCAGTGATTTAATATTTTGTAGGCTACCTGGTGAACTATCTTCAACAGAGGAAGGAAGGAAGGAGCTTAAAAATTTGCAGGAAGTTGCAGCTGTGGCTTTTAAAAAATACCGCTTTAATTCAGAATGCATTTTATCAAAATAATTACAGTTAGTGAGTATGAAACAGTCAGTGCTGTTAATGTCTTTGAAACATTTGAACTGCTCACATGAACAGATTACTGAAGCGCAACAAACAATATGACATCCTCTTCGGGTAGGTGGCACAGAGCATCTTTATTTAGCTATTAGAAAACTAGGGATAAAAGCAGAATATATACCAATACTATAAGTGCAATTCCTCCAACTATTGTGCTTATTATAGAACTAAGAAATTTGTTCTTCTATAGAGATGTTTTGTAAGGTAGCTGGTTAACTCTGCTGTTGTCCTTAACTATTAATGAACAGTATAACACAGTACCTGTACCATAATAGTTTACAATGACATGTGTTACTATGTCCCACTCTTGGAACAAATTCTATAGAAGAAAATTTGTTTCTTACATTTCATGTCAATAAAATAATGCACTTCTATCCTAGGACAGGTATATTAGGTTAGATAGGTTTGGTTAGTTTATTTTATACTGTATTGTATACGATAATTCAACATTTGCTAGCTAACTTTTATGGGTGTGACGAAACACTGTACAAGCAGTGCCCGGGTTACGACCGTCCCACTTACGAACAGGATATCACTACATTCATCGCAAAATTTTTTAATTAAAATCCCATTTTTTTACATTATTTTCATTACAGTGACCCCTCGTTTAACGAACTGCCTTCCATAAGGATCTTCAATTCGGTTAACGAACAAAAATTCGGTTAACGAATTTCTTACAAACCGACCTCAACATGTTTTCGCTTGCACTGACCGGGCAACCAGCTTTAGTATCAGTCCGCCAATACATTAATCGGTTCTAGGGCTTAAATTCCTTACTATTTTAGTAAATATCAAGAAGTTTATACATTTCAATAATTTTAAAAGTTTAATATTAACTTTTTTAGTCATTTTAACAATTATTGAACATAATTGAAGGTAAAGAAACTAGTTTCTGGAGTGCCATCCAGCCTGTTAACACACCAGACAGGCATTAGTCTCTCTCTGTTTTCAGTGGAGGTAACATCTTGCTTGAGACTCTCTTCAACTAAATGCTTTTTTCTGTGTTTCCAAGCAAATTATTGGTCATTTTGAAATATATTTTACATATTGACAATATATAATGCCGTGCAGTGTTGATTTAAAGAAAATAATCTTGAAATACACCAAGAGAACTAAAATTTTATGGATGAAATGGTGCCATGGGGTGACTTCTCTTCCACCCCAATGCCTTTTCTTCTTCCTTCTCCTCCACCCCCATTCTAATTCCCATCATCATCATCCAGGAGCCTTCTACATACACACCTCAAAGTAAGTGAACTTTTCTACCATTTTTGTTGAATTTAGGAAATTTTCGGTGAGCTGGAACCAATTACCCAAAAACCCATTGAAACAATGGTTTCGGTTAACGAACGACCTTCTGGAACGGATTGAGTTCGTTAACCGAGGGGTCACTGTACTCTATATTGTTTAACATCACTTTGTTTACAGTGTTTACATTATTTGTTATGTATGGGATATTATTGTTGTTTTGTATGGGCTGGGGTGTGCTTTAACCTAACTTATGGAATTCAAATTGTTCTGACTTACAAACAAACCAATTTATGATCAGGGTCCAGGAACGTATCCCTGTCATAAGTCAGTACTGTACAGGTATGAAATGCTGGCTAGGACAAAATTACCAAACTAATAATACAAAATTTTTTGTAAACATTTTTATTCATTGTTACATTATCAAATTAAAGATTCTAAAATTATCTATACAAAAATTTTCAAAAGTTGCTGCCAGTTTTTGTGTATGGAAGGAATGCATTAATGTTTACGAAACACTGTCTGGTACCCCTCACATAACAGTTGATAATGGCAGTGCACGAAGGCTGACGCATCCACATAGATTTGTGTTCAAGACGAAGAAATCTGTAAAGTAAAAGTAAGAAAATTTTAATTCTTCCAACAAGATTACCAGTCAAATTTTTATTACATGCACTACAGTAAATGACAAATGTTTATTTATGACTGTTGTTCTTGCCAATACAGTATATTATTGCATATGTCATAAATTCCTAATAAAAGCATCCACATAACATCCACATATATGTACTGTACATTATTACAGTTCTTGTAGGCGATTTTAATGAGATATTTATATCTCATTTGGGGAAATTTTGTTTTTCCATGTGAAATTTCAGACCGAGAATTGGTACATTATGCGGGTGAGGCAATGAGTTTCTGGTAAATACTCTTTGTCAGAAGTTGGTGGTAAATATTCGGAAAAGGACAATCACGCAACTCTACATTATAGTATATTGATTTGTTTACAGAGATAGAGCCAAAAAACCATACGGTTCACTTATTCACCAATGTTACCTGTAAGGTATTGGATTAATGAATCAAAACCCAAAATATTTATAAACAGAATAAGTTTAAGAACCTATTGCATGAAAAGAAAAAAAAGTGGGATTTGGGCAGGTCAAAAAATTAAGACAGTGAAGGCTAAAAAAAAAAAAGGCATTCAAGCCTATAATTAAGGTACTAAAACCCACAATATGAGGCTCCATCATTTATTGATAATTTAGGCAAAATCAGATTCAAAACTTATTAGTATATGACCAGACACATGTTACAACAAGCCAGAATTATCAGGGGAATAATTATGATAAATAATAAAATTACGGTATTTTTGCGTTTACACACCACACATTCCTACCACTAATCTATTATCATATTCTAATAAGACGTCTAATTATAAGATAATTTTCATCTATTACATTACCAGCGGAAATGTATAATAACGGAGATAGCATATCCAAAATTTTCTCTATTTTCTTCCATTAATCTTCCGCCATTGTCGCCTGCCTCACCTCCAACACTGCGTGTCTCCTGCGTCTCCTTCATAAATCATCACGCGCATGCATTCCCGTACACGTCACTCGGCCAATCAAAAGCGTTTTTGTTTTTGCAACCAATTAAAATTATTTGGGGTTTAATTTGTGATATATTTGGCCCAATCAAATTCGAGTTTTATTTTGGGTCTCATATTTCAAAATTCAAGTTCAGTTCCGATCATGGAAGTCTGCAATGGGCGTCACTTAAATTATATGGAGCTGATTGCGAGTTTTTGGGAAAAAAAAACGAAGAAACTATAGCATTTTTTCGATCGCATGGTGTTCTTCCAACCTCAGTAAAGTGTACTAAGAGCAAGACTGAATGGAAATATCGCAAAGACCAACATATGTGGCATTGTGTAAGAATCTCAGAATCCAACGACGAACAAGAACCAGGCCAATAAGGTAAGAAATAGGTGATTCCATCATATGGTGAGAGTCAGTTAGGTTAGGTTAGGTTTTTGTTTTTCTAGTGTTTTTTGGTGTATTTTGCCATTATTTTTTTTGGAAAACGTCCAACGAAAAAAAATCGAAAAAAATGGCTAATTTCCGCCAGAAATGAAGGTCATATTCGGTTTAAACACACAAATACACTAGAAAAATATATTTTAGTCTTTCTAACAGAGTGCGGTGAGACAGTGCAAATTAACCAAAATTTCTTTGCATACAAAGCACATAGAGATTTGATTTATATGTCATATCAGTTACTCACTGTTTTAAACCCACAATTTGCCTAATCATTCACGCCCTGTCCACTATAGGTAATTTATGATCATAGACTATCTCACACTGAGAGCACCCCTCCCTAACCTAAACTTAAATCCACTGCATAACCAAAACAATAATAATACCTACCGGGTACTTCCCATGGCCACTATAAGAGCATATTAAATTTGATTACTGTAACAGTAAAAAAAAATTCTAGCATCACCCACCTGTTCCTGCAATAAGAGACAGTGTTTAGTACTTGTGTAAAACCTGTGTTATAAACACCTAGGGTTAACTCCTGGCTATAACAACCTCAAAACTTGTCACTTTCTAGCCAGACCATCAGCCCAAGACATACAGTGTGTCAGTGAGCAAAAATACCTGTAAGTTGTTCTAGTGTCGATGATTTATGACTTTCAAAGGAGATTTTACACTTGAGTTGGGCAAATTAAGGAAAGTGTTGAAGGCTGACCCTCACCCATAACATACTACATAACCTGGATCTGTCTCCCTCCTTTACTCTCTTCTCACAAACTGTCATGAAAGCTTGACTGAATATGGTACAAATTTTGATATATTATATCTTTATTGTGAAAGTACTACACAAATATTTACTCACATGACTATGGTAAAATGTCATTCCTGGCAGTTCATCTTTGTTATCGTTTTCATGACACGTAATTAAATATATCTGATTCCTGTGCCCATGATTTTTTTCCAAATTTTTTTAATAATTTATGTCTAACAGAAGAATATTTGCATGTTAATCTCTGATAATATGACGAAGTTTATGTCGCAAAACTGCCAGGTCAATTTATAGTGGATGACAATATGTCGAATTTGTTTGGTTATTTGTAACTTTAACTGGCGAATTGCCTATTAAAATACATCCCCTTTAAATCCAAATAAAACTATTCTATGTCGTTTCGGACAATAAATCTTGTTTCTACTGAGAACTATGAAAATCAAATAAAATTCTTCGAGAAATTCATGAAATTGAAAAAAGGTGCCACTCTCTGGAATAAATCCTGACCTCAGAGGAGACTTGTGGTGGATTCAACAAGGATTAATGAACACTTGAATCCAGACTGAGCCTGTGTGCTGCTCCCCGGACACAACAACAACAACCACAGCTGGAGACTTGGGATGATTGGTGGGAGGAGGAGTAATATTTAGGTCGCCATCTTGGTGAATATGTGAATATATCCCTGGTCACCGCCTACCACAAGGGAATAACAAGAACAAATGAAAAAATGGATTCTCTGGTGGAGAGTAGCACAAGTTTAGGGGAGTATCTTGACGTATGACTGACGGTGCTGGCTGTAATTTATTGACAGGTAAATTTATGAACCGTTCGTCATATTTGCTTATTTTTTAAATAATTGCATAATTTGGTTTTGCTGTGGAAAAAATGAACGAAATCGAACAACTCTTTCTGTTGTTAACTGTCTGGTCCACCATTATCAAATGAAACACTTGATGAGAGTGACCTGACTTTTGCAGCAACCTGACAAAATTGTCCTTTGAAAGATTAAAGCTTTCTTACCTGGAAGGTATGTTATGGGTTGGTTGGCAATCACATTTTCTGTAGCTAGTCAAACTAATGATGGATGACGGTCATCAGATTGCTGTTGTTTTGTGATCTCTCTGGCCTTTAAATAATGGTCGCATACATCTTATTATAGGACTTTTTATGCCTTAGGGGATGAGGTAAGTGACAGGTGTTCCCCGTTTTCTCTTTAAAGTACAGTAGTGGTATTTAAATAGAAACTGAATTGGAGTTGGAGTGTGAAATCTTCTTTTGACTGGTGGTTCAAGGCACTTGAGTTTGCTTGAATTTTGACTGTTGGCCAGCAGCTTCTGTGGTTGTACACAACAACCACTAAATCAGTGAGAAGGGTGCCTGCTTAGTAAGCATTGTCCACATAGAAAAAGTGTCCAGTTACTAAGCATACAAGCTCTTTGGTAGTGGTGTGTTCTGTCTGGGATAGCTAGTGATGGTACATCTTACAGGCCACTCGTCTCATCCGCTCTCTTACAAAAGGGGATTTTCTACATCAGTCCTTCATTTTAATCTGTCTTAAAATGGTTGCTGTATATTATATATTTTTTTTACATGACTCCAAAATTCTTATAGATGAGCTACATAAAAAAGCAAAGTACCGTGTATCATTTATTGTTGACTGTCATGTTGCAGAAACTGTGTGTTTGGTTGTTTAGCCTGATAAGAATACTAAAGAAACCATGGAGTCTGATGAAACTTTAAAGGAAGAACTGGATAGAGTTCACCAGGAGATAGACCAGATGAGCAATGAGGAAAACCAAGCAGCTCAAAACGGTGTAGTATTAGACGAAAAAGAAAGGTTGCAAATAAGATTAGCGGAACTGGAAATATTGTACAAGAATGCTCAACAGGAACTGGAAGCCACACGAGAGGTAAGAGGAATTATTATTAAAGTTTATGGGAGTAGCTACATGTTACCTGGTGTGACAGCCTACCTGTGATTTTCATCTGATAGTTGTTTAAATGAGGGAAAAGTAGATAGAACAACCCATTCTCCCAATCACTCCTCTGACTCCCACCAATTAATACATTCATAAAACCAGCACCATCCACTTTTTTGTTTAGTTTCTTCTTAAAAGGTCATTTTGGGATATTACTGTTTGCCATGTCATAGGACTATGGTTGTTTTGCTGATGTTTAAGAGTGTTCAATTTAAACATTTGACCTCTGTGTTCCACAACTTTCCTTTGTTATGTCACCAAAATTTCATTGTTCTAAATATTTATAACCTGATGCCTTCTGTTAGGTGACTTGTATAATGCCACCAAGCTAGTGAATTGTAGACCCTGGAGACTCTTGACCTAGTGGCTTGGAACTAATCTTATCAATGGTTTACCTTCCTGTTGCAAAAATTGCTCATAAATGGAGATTAACAACATTTTCTCTTTAAAGTAGCAATATGTGATTCTAGTAGAGTGTACATAACTTACCTGTAAGCTGTCACTCCCAATCATGTTAGCTGTATTGACTTTCAGGCACTAATCTTCATCCCTCAGCCACTGCCTGCCTAGGAAATGCCTTGCCAGTATCATCTGTTTTTGGATCCAAGTTCCATTACCTCTTTCCTGTTAGCATTTGGGAAGTTTATAGTTTGGATCACACAATTCTTAGTGCCAAATTGATGGAAAGGCTAGATAATGTTGCTTTATATCCATTAATCCAACCTTCTTGTCTTTAAGGTGTTTGAGGTTTGGATATTTTTTATCCAGTTTGATCTTAACAACGTATTGGGTGTACAGTATAGGATTAATTTTGGCTTATTTTGGTCTCCTCGCCAAATTTTATCTGGATTCTCTTCTTCCTTTCTGGTTTTGAACTTGAAGTTCAGTAAAAGAAAATTTCCTATCCTTTTAGTCTAGTTTTTTTCCTAGTTAAGGGTTTAATATAGGAAAGGTCATCAGGTAGGGGAAGATTGGTGATTAGGATTAATCTTAGGTGTCCCATTTTTTCATAGGTATGTAATAGTTCATACTTTTATGTATAGTTTGTGTGGTACAGTATGCACATGTTTCACTTGCCAGAGGTAATTTTATGAATCTGCTTTGGTAGAATGTAGTCCTACTTTGACTGGGATCCAAGACTTCAATGGACCAGTATCAAGATGAGTCCAGGATTACACTTGACCTGTTTGGAAAGAGAGTCGAGGAGTATACCTGATGTATACAATGGGTCAACTCTTGTATGAGATGGCTGTCTGTCCATTCCTGGAACTTTCATATCACCTAGCAGAAAGACAATAGCCAGAAATGGAGAATTGATCTTGATACAATGTTTGCTGGCAGAGCCTGAAGCCAAGGGACTCATAAACCCTTCCACTTCCCATAGATTTGCATTTGCATATGGTTGGCAAAAACTGAATTATGTGGTTGATTGTCTTTGTCTGGATTCATTTAGATTTTCTTGGAGATTTATAGAGTGCAGTATCATTATTTTGGTGTTGTGGGTGCTGATTGGACAGTCACACATTTATTAAAACCTTCAGATCCCCAAAATCCTGAAGGAGGGTAACTACAGCCTGTTCCCATCATCTGAGGCTGGTGGTCCATACTAACACTGGAGGTCCTGTCTGAGAACTTATGGACCTCTAGTAAGTTACCTTTATTATGAGCCTCCTGGCTTTTGGACTTTTCCGGAAATAGGGATTTGGGGATCAATCCTCCATTTTTGTCTAAAGATAAGCATGTATAATACACATCTTGGCTGTTCATATACCTTTCAAAGCATTTCAAGCAAAAATCTCAATTCCCTATAACTTTGTGTGTGACACACACACACACACACACACACACACACACACACACCTAAGAGACTCTAAAATATTTAAGCAAATTCTCTTCATTTCCTTTCATCTCCCTCAAATATTTCAAGTTGCTCTCTTGCTCAAAATATGTACTGTATTACGTAAAGTTCAAACACTGTGCCTAAGTGCAAGACCACATTTACTTTTTACATAGACAATTTTTGCAGAAGTGAAGTCCCCAGTCTCTTAGTTGCCATTTACAGTGTGCAGAGGATATTTTTCTAGATGGCCCAATTCCCAGTATTGTACAGTACAAGTACAGCATAATATACATTGTCGTAAATGAGTAGCCATGATATACTGTACTGTACTGTACTGTACTGTACTGTAGTATTTCACTGAGACATCAGAATCAGTCTGTATATTATTTTTGTTTCTTTTATAAAGGCTCTGGCCAAGTTGCAGACAAATGAGTGTATGAGCACAGCTACTGGTACTGAGACAGAGAATAACCATCCTCTTGAATCTGCTGCCTCAGAAACATCAGTCAAATCACAAAATACCAAGGTTGATTTTGACATAAAGCAGGTTTGTATGTACTATATTCTACTCTGTGTCATCAAGAGCGGACTGAGCCTGTGAAGCCATACATTGGCAGGAAATTGGTGAAAGTTTGAACCATATGGTTATAATTTACTCCAATAAATAATGTCTGTAAGAACTTCTAACAATTGTGTTAGAGTAATACCCGATATTTTCAGTCAACCGCACTAATTCAGGTTAAAGGGACTGTTGTTCACATTAACTGCACTGCGGATCCAGCACAGTAACAGGTTTTTGTGAGGAAAACTCTACTTTGTAAACTCATCTCATGCCTCAAATCTTCTCAAACACGAGTGCAGAGTTACTAGCTTCATTCACTATCCACATTCCTTACACCAAGCAGAGAATTCATGGAGACAAACATTTATATCATATCTTTATCCCTTCCCAGCCATAATTGAACTTCACAAGCTCACTCTAATTGTGCATGATTGTGACAAATAGAAGCTTGACTCCACCTCTGCACAGCAACACATAAGCTGAGTCCTGTTTGTAATGTAGTGGCAGCCCAACTGTTTTATTGTTTATTATGACAATCAACATGAATCTGCCTCGTCTGAAAATCTGATGACCAGTGCCCGTCAGATACTATCATCGTTCTGACGAGTGATGCTGCAGCCACCTTCCTGATGATGACTCTGGGCTGACGTTTTACGTGTGTCAGATCATTCATCTAATCGCATTGCTGTTTGTATGTTCAATGTTAAAATTTTCAGTTTTGGAATAATTAGAGTTGATTACTACTTTTTAGTATACATCTTCAGTTCTTGTAAGTATATGCATTACTATGTTGTAATAAACATCAGCTTCAGTAGCTTGACAGCAACACCTGAGCAGTGCAACAAGACTGAGTCTGAGATGGGATTTGGCTTTTGAACATGTTTTCCAGCTTCTGTTGATTTGTTTATGATAGAATGATGTCACAATAGTACCCTTTTTGTTGAAGATGCTAAAACAAAGGTGCCCAATGCCTCTGTAGTTCTTAATATCTTGGTTCAGTATATCGTATCATTAACAAGCACTGATCAAATGACTGCCTCACATTCAGAATTTTTATCTCAAAATTATTCTTATCAAAATGGTTACAATATTTCAGCTTTTAGTGTTTATAATTATTTTAGTACATAAAACTTCAACAGAGGCATCCTTTTTTCCAGCAATTCATAGCACTTCTGTCTGATGACCGAGTTAGTTAGTCTGTGTGTGACTGGAGCCGTTGATTTTTTTTTATTCAAGGCAAAGAAGGGGGGAGGGAGGGCATAGCCATGTACAGTATTTACTGAACATACATAACTGGTACATTATGCTATACAGTGCAATACATATATTTTGACTATGCATACTTCCAGAATTTAATGCATTGTGCCTATTATATAATAATGATTTGAATTTATATGAATGCCTAATACTTAATTATAAATAAAAACAAAGTGAGTGATTGGTGAATAATTAATGTTACTGATAATGTCATAAGTGGCCCTGTGATGGATTATGTACAGTGATGTATTATGGGTGGTTGAGGCTGTGTGTACTGGGAAGGTCACAGTCCCCTGATCTGAAGCCTGTTGCATTATCCACTGGTTCAATGGGCATTTTCCGTCTGGGTAGTGTTCCAGCTGTTAAGCAAGTTGAGACATATGATATTGGTGGGCTCTGTAGGAGGGTGTTTAGTGTTCAGATCTTACAGTCCCTTCTTCCTTTTCCGTGGCCATAAAATGGTTTTTCCGACATCAGTCATTTATTTTTCACTTGATCTTTCTGCTTTTCTTTTTCTTTTTCAACTTCCTTCTTCTCTTTCTATTTTGCTTTCTTCCTATCCCCTGTTTGCTTTGCTCTGCATACTCCTAATTTTTGTCTACCACCTACTCATCATCATTTTCTCTTCTCATTATTTTCCATCTTTTATCTCTTCAGCCATCATAATGTCCTTCCTCGCCTTCCTAATCTTCATACTGGATAATTCATTGTCAATCCTCCCACCTCCTCTGCCTCTCACACTCTGACTTCTAGTTATTTATACTTCATGAGTTGTACTCCATATTAAGTCTTGAAGTATTGGATGGGCATATCCACAGGGGTAAAAGCAGTTTGAGTTCACACATAGGGGGGTACTGTAAATTATTGTGAAAATATTTAAATGGTTCTCTCATGGTGCACCTTTGGAGGCTGTTGCAAGGTGCTGGGAGGAATTTTTTTATTCTCATTCATAAATTGAAACATATCTGTGCAAGTGTTCTTCCACATCTGTAAACAATATCTGTAGTGAAATTAAATAGAAGACCTGAACTACAAACATTAAAAGTTAAAAAAATATGTGATTTATGTAAATGCTTATTTGCGTCATAAATCTTCATTAAATGTATTGGTTATAGGTCATATCCACCTCTCTGAGAATGTGAATACATTTAAAGTACCTTGAACGTCTCTTCTAGGTTTCGACACAGACGCCCGAGTGGGAAAATACTTACAAGATATTTGTGGGGAACCTCAGTAACCGTGCTTCAGGCTCAGACATCCGAAAACTCTTTGAAGCTCATGGTACAGTGGTTGAGGCAGATGTTGTCAGAAACTATGGCTTTGTGCACATGGAAAATGAAGAAGAGGGCCGGGTAGCTATTGAAGCACTAAATGGCTGTTCACTTCACGGAAAAGTAAGAATAGATACCGTGTATAGTTTTAGTCCAAATCATGCCACCTTTAACATGGAATTTTAGGATAACTTAAAAGTTAACAGTCGGTGGTACAGATGGATCTTGTTAATCCGAATTAACGCCATGCCAACCCCCACTTGAATTTTCAGAACACTTCGACTGAGAGGTGTATGGGCATCTTACATAGTAGGCAAGAAGGATTAACAGAAGAATGGAATGGAAATGGTGCAGTAAAGCCAGTGTCCATATATTAAAAGTATCTATTAATTATACTTTGTTCGTATATCCAATGTTGTGTCATATTTAGAAGTTACATAAACATTTGTGCTCTTGTACTGTACCAGATTTCTCGCTTAAAGATTTCAGTAAATAAAGCTCATTTAATAACCAAATGCAGGGAATCCCTTCATAATGTACATCCAATTGACAAACACCTGGACATATGAACAGGTTGTGAACACAGCATCATCCACTTTGTGACTAGATACTGAATTACTAAAAGTGCCTTTAATGATAATGATTTGTCACTTTGGCAACACCACAAGTTGGTAATGAAGTTAACACTTGACCACCTACCCACACCTCCTCCTCCTCCTCCTCCCTCCCCTTCCCTCTCCTTCCCTCTCCTCCTCTCTCTTTTTGTAAGGTAGTCTTGTTATTTATTTATTCTTTGGAAGTAACAACATACTCACTTGTAGGGACAAGTGTGGAAAAAGTGTGGCCATTATCCTCATTTAACATAGATTATTTTTCTGTCTTCTACTGTATAATTAGTTTATAAACAATTTTGAGAGAAAATATTTAATAGGTTTTTAAAGAGAGTAAAACCTTACAGTATGTCAATTATAATTAAACTTAAAAGAACTTGAAGCTGACTCTAAGCTATGTTCAGGCATGTACAGTATAGGTTTGGCTGCCACAAAAATGTTTCAACCCCACTTTACTGTAATGTGCTAAAATAGAAAATCTAACAGCTGAAATTCTGTTAATATGATTTATGTTTTTGACTGCTACCCATTTGGGTACAGTATTTGTTAGCCTTTTTGACATTGGTACAAAGGCAGAAATCATATATTCATAATGTAAATTAAAATAAACACCAGAACATGGATGTGGGCCAGGCAAGTCTTGTGTGTTTAGCTTAAAATAGTTTACTTGACAGCATAACTATCAATAGGTATGGTTTTCTCACATGCCCAGTTTCCTCGCAACCAGATTTTTCAAGTTGAACCTGCATTACTGGTAATCACTGCAAATGCACAATATTTTTCTAGATTTTGAGTTAAATAAGTTTTTGATGGCCACCATTTATAACATTGTGTATATGAGAATTGACTTCCAGGTTCTGAATGAACGACTTATGAAAAAAATTTGGAATGCAACGTGTTTATAACTTAGTGACTTCCTGTATTCTTGTTATTAAATCATAGCAAAAAATATAATATGGTATACAGAACAGTAATTGAAACAGATTGCATGTAAAATTAATAACTATATTTTTAAAAGGTTTGCCTACTGTTTTTTATATTGAAGTTTGCAAAGTATTGGTTCATGAACTTGCTTTCATGTAAAATTCAGAATTAAATTATTGATCTACCACCTGAAAAATGCTGAACAGAGCACAGCTAAAAGTGAAGTAACTTATCTTATTACACAACTGTTAAGTTATATTGATAATAAAATGCAGTAAGTTAGGGCCAGCAAATGGAAGGAAACAGTAAAACTGCCCAGGGTATGAGGAAATTGAAAAAAATTAATACAGTAATTTTTAGTTTAGTGAAAGTTTACCCCTTTGAGCCTGTTTAAATGCATAAATTTTGGTGGATCTGATTCAGTGATACATAAACAAATGAAGTTCATCTGTTTTGTTTAACCTCTGACTTCCTTGGAGCTGCTACCTGTGTTTTCATTTTAAACACTTTGTGCTTGAGTCGTTCAAATTTTGTTTTAAAGCCGTGTGAGTTCAATAATGTGTGTTTGGTTTCAGCCAATGGTTGTTAAGGCCTCCACTGGTGCTAGGAAGGATGATAACCAAACAACAAATATCTTAATTGGGAACCTTCCCAAGGATTCTAAACTTGAGGAGTTGAAAAGCTTATTTGGAGTAAACAGCAATATCGTAGAGTCTGACACTCTTACCAACTGTGCCTTTGTTGTAAGTACATGGTTGTCTTGATATTTGTAATTATTTTTATAAATTATGGGTCATTCATCAAGTGACTTGTGAGATTCCCACAAGCAGAACACTTCCTGTAAGTGCCTGCCATTTCTAGAGGCTGACTGAATTTTGAAACAGGAATGCTGTCATACCTGGGTCAGTGCTAAGGTTGCATAAACAGTTACTCAGCTGGTGAGTTGGTGGTTAGGGAGAGTGGAACCTCAACCATGATCTGGTAGTGCTTTGTAAAGTATATGAGTCATTGGGTCATGGCTTTAAACCCATGGTTATAGAATGTGGTCTTTGATATTCACTACCCACATTTTTTCTTGCCTCCAAGCGGTAATCTGTTTCCAGCATTCTCTGATATTCTTTATGGAACTTTAATGGTAAAGTGGGAATGGATCTCGGGTTACATAAATATACTTATTTGTCTGAGAACATTATTAAGTCAGTTGTTTTTATGGCAATTCAGTCATTTTAATTGGCTATGGAAGTGTATATAGCATTTTGGTGACTGTAGTGGATGCCCGATGACATGCTCGTTGTGGAACTGAATTTTGTGTCCTCTTAATGTTCTTCTAGCACTGTGGTATTACACACTATTTTGGACTTTCAATGTTTTAATGCTCCATTCAGGTGAGAGGTGTTCTACAGTATTTCTAATCAGGTAACCTGCTTTTCTGTTCCTTATAGAAATTCACATTTCCCCCTCCTCTCTTATCATCTCTCTTCAGCTTTCCTGGTTATATATAATGTCTTTAAATCTCAAAAGTGATGGGAAACCCTGCTGCTATACAAGGTCTAAGATTGCTTCTTATATTTATGAAACAGTCTGTTTTGTGTATGTTTGCTTATTTGGATATTAACTATGCAATATGCACAGCTACAGTTTTGTAGATAAAGAACTGAAATTTGGGGTAAATACCATATACAGGTACAGTATACATACACCCCAGAAATGTTGCAAAGGTGGAGTTTTAGAGGGTTGGCCCTAGTAGTCCTCCTCCCCCCCCTTCCCTGCCCTGTCCTGCCCCGCCCCGCCCCCAAAGGTGGAATCTTCTCATTAAAACATCTATTTTTCTGTTTCTTATGCACGGCCAAAGTTATTAAGATAAAGAACTGAAATTAGGTATGCTTAAGTACTGTATATAGCTCCAAGAAGGCTTATGGTTATCTAACTGGGGAGGTCTACCTAAACCTAAAAGTGGGCCCTCCCTTGCATGACCACAGTTTTTAGCAGAACTGAAAGTTGGTATGGCTATTTTTTTAATGTGCACTTAATTTTGGCCAAGGTCAAGCATACGTCCATTTATTAGGGATGCATCCTTTGCAATAACCGGGGTATTCCTGTATAATATATTGGTGAATTGAAAATAGCGTTACACCTATTTATCACAAACAAAAGTTCAACACTTACCATACTTGAAGCTACAAGAGGAATGAAATGCTTGATAAATTTTGAGAAGTGTGATGGGTGAGACAAGAGTCATGAGAGGTCTTCAGGGTTGAAGGTAAACATCACTTGGGTACAAGGCAGCAAGGACTAAAAAGGTCTACCTAAACCTAAAAGTGGGCCCTCCCTTGCATGACCACAGTTTTTAGCAGAACTGAAAGTTGGTATGGCTATTTTTTTAATGTGCACTTAATTTTGGCCAAGGTCAAGCATACGTCCATTTATTAGGGATGCATCCTTTGCAATAACCGGGGTATTCCTGTATAATATATTGGTGAATTGAAAATAGCGTTACACCTATTTATCACAAACAAAAGTTCAACACTTACCATACTTGAAGCTACAAGAGGAATGAAATGCTTGATAAATTTTGAGAAGTGTGATGGGTGAGACAAGAGTCATGAGAGGTCTTCAGGGTTGAAGGTAAACATCACTTGGGTACAAGGCAGCAAGGACTAAAAACAGTAAGTACACACTGCTGTAACGTCATAAACTTTAGCTCCGCCCCATCCAATGACGTCACACTACCCCTGGTGACCAGATGGTGCCCAAGGACTACGGCCTTGCCATGGTTGACTTTGATTGCTTAATTTTTTTAGAATACTTGTAAAGCTAAGGCCTTTCTGTGGCCAGGTATAACAAAATGAATGCCTTATGTTCTCATAGTCCTCCAAAAAATAAGTGATATACCAAAAAAAAAAAAGCAAAATATTACAAGGAAACACCCGGGGGGTGTCGGGCATTTCGCTGATGACATGGACGAAGCAACTAAAACTATCAGCTTATTATTAATGCAAAGATTTTCCTTTTGCCAAACATGGTAAGGTGAATGTCTGAGGGTACTCTGGACAACTGGATATTGTATACTTAAGAAAGTAGAGCAAGTTTCTCTGGGCTTCTAGGCATTAAGCTTCAGAACCATTGCCAGTGAATTAAGTGATGTAACTCTGGATTTTCTTATATTTGGGACAATATTATTGTTTTCTTTTGTCAGACGTGGCAAGAAAAATGTCTCACGGTCTTCTGGATGACCTGATATTGACTGACATTGCAGAATTAAGAAACTACAAGAAATCTTCCCTCGCGTCTTGAAACAAGCACGGTATTGACACCTGAAACCCACGTATCAATGTACAGTAAACCCCCGCTTTACGCGGTTTCATTTTACGCGTTTCCACGTTTACGCAGTACCCTGCTGAAACCGGAATGCTCAATTTCCGCGGTGTGTGTACCCTTTTACGCGGAGAGCGGCGCGAGCAGGGTGCGCACAAGGTCGCCCACTCATCAAAACATTACCGAGTTCTTCACCCGCCACCCACCACAGCAGGCCCAAGTCAGTGATAGTGATAATGATAGTGAGGATATGGACTTATATGGACTTTGAGGGGTTTGACAAAGAGGCCCTGCAAGCCTCTGTGGTGGATAGTGATGCAATTGATACAAGTGATACAGGTGAGGGCTAATAATCTGCCCTCTGCCTCGGAACCAACGCCCCCCATCCCTGTGTGCCCAGCCATCTTTTCTACTAGTGTAAGTGTTAAAAAACCTAATATTATTGATATTTCTCTTAATTATTAATTGTGTGTGCATACCATCATAAAATTAAGAAGTTATTTTTACTACAACGTAGGTATTGTCTGAAAAAGTGGAGTTTGGGGGTCGGCCCAGTCTCTATTTCAATTAATCCCATATGTTATGTTGTTCACTTACGCGGGCCGCCGTGGGTTCAATTGACCGTGTAAAGTGAGGGTTCACTGTACTTAACTTTAATTTTTTTCAAGATTATTAAATATGTTCAGAGTTCTTTTTGGCCACATATAGCAAGATGAATATCTCACCTTCTTGTAGATGCAGTACTTGGATATCGACAAACATTCCAGAATTATGGAGATACAAAAGAATTATGAACTCTTCAAACACGTTTTCGGTTAGCCTAATGTGTTTATTTTGTCTGAATGCTTGTGGGCATTTATCCATTTATCACAGGTTTTCTTTTCTCTGGGATATCTGTAATACTTGATGTGCTCTCTGCTTGGGATTTGAGCTTTGCTGGTGCACCCATATATTGCATAAATACCCATAATTGTTGACACACTGGTCCCGTGAACAGACGCGGGCACACATGGAGGTCACCAGATGATGTGTGTTTACAATAGTGTCGTCTCTGAGCTGTGCATTGTGGGTAAAACAAGTGCTTGGTGAACTATCCTTACTTCTAATGTATTTTATCTTTACAAGGCAGTCTCTTAAGAATACTGTATGCACATTCCCTTTGGAAATGCCACTTAGGATTGAAAAAAAAAACATAATTTTTAAATTTTAATTGACATGCATGGTATTTCAGAGAATTTTTTATTCATATACAGTCTCTCCTCGACTTACGACCGGCTTCTGTCCCGACGACGAGGTTGTAAGTCGAATTGGTCGTAAGTCGAAAAGGCAAAAATAATACATTGAAATTCTAAAATGAATTACAGTACAGTAAAAGTTATCAATAATGAAAAATGAATAAAGTGTTTCTGTGCACTTAGCTTTAATGTAGTCAGCTGAATGCACACGGGGCCTCAATAATTTTTTAATTAAGCATGGAGACTTCATTAATTGGATGAAGCAGAGGAGGAGACAGGGCCGTCGTATGTCCGGGTTGTCGTAAGTCGAGGAGAGACTGTACTGTTAACTAGTTGAAAAATCATTCAGGTAGGGGTAGGCACCCAAAGACTTCACCCAAGTGTTCTAATGACAATCGTCTGATTACTTAAAAGTATCCCGAGTGTTTGATTTAAAAAAATAATGGATTATGGTTCGAAGGGTCGCTTTAGGGGTACAGTACAGTATCCCCAATGTTTAAAAAAATGGTCAATAGGCAATGAGTTAACCCTCTAATTCTAATGAATGGGCCCCTGTGCAGACCCCTCTTTTTATAGTGCTTTTATTTTTTGTTTGTGTATTTTTAGTCTCACTCATATTTAACATAACGAGTTGAAATTTGGTTTGGTTATGTTATTGATGATGTCAAAAACAAACATTGGCAATGCCAGGGACCCAAGCTAGTTTAATCTACTGTAATTTCTATCTTCTCTCCCCACTTTGACTTTTTCTTTTACAAACTCTCATCTCTCAGTGGTGTCAAATGCATCTGCTGTTCTCCTAATGCACCCTTGGTGCCCAGTCTGTTTGACACTCTTACTGACAGTTAAAATAACAGAAAATTGATGCGAATGTGAAATGGTTTTAGATTATTTTACACAATTTTATATCATTTGATGTGACATACCTCACAACCCGGCAATGTGACAACACTGGAGAGCGGGTGGCCATATCCTACAAAACACAATGGATGGTGTTTGTTACTTCAAAATGTTAAACAACTATGTGTAGCTAGCTGTCTCGGAGCGGGCAAAATGCACAAAACATCAATTTACTGGCATTCTTTATTTGTGGCTAAGCCAGTGAACACAGTTGTCATCCACCTCCTATGGTCTTCTTAACCCAGTAGTAATGATGGCAACTCCATCTAAAGAATTCTCCTTATTTGTATGAATTACCCTGTACAGTACAGCCACTCCTCGACTTACGACCTACCCAACTTACGACCACCTGGACGTATGACCGCCCCAGTTGTACCAAAAAATTTTCAAATTACGTATTTTCGAGTCCCGACGTTAGTGATTGCGCTGTGTACTAACAAAATTTTCGTTTGTAATTCCATTTAAACTGGCATGCTTAAAAGTGAGAGTTTTGTGGTGCTGAGAAGAAAAAGAGACACCCATTTTAGATTTTCTATGTATTATTTTCGCATTTTCGACTTACGACCTGGAATTGGGTCCCTAACCCCGTCGTAAGTCGGGGAGAGACTGTACACTGTATATACAGTATCCGTGATTTGGGTGCCTATTGCTTTACTAAAATAGAAGGTTTGAAAACAAATAAAATGCCTCATTAGGTATATACGAGGACGTTAAACCGAAGAATGCTGTACAGTATATTGAAAATCAGGTAGGTAGAAGCTAGAGTAAAAGAGAAAGAGCAAATAACAGAGGTGTTGGATCATAGTTAAAGATTTACTGCTCTCATGATGATGTGTTTGTGGGTGACTGAGGGACATCTTTTGTATCTGGCAGCCTCCTGTTTCTTAATGCTAATGTTTTTATCTTTTGTTGCTTAGATATCAACCAAGAAGCCTGTACAGAGGAAGACCTTCAAGATATTTTTAGGGAACCTCAGTCATCGTGCCACAACCGCAGAAATCCGGCAACTTTTTGAAGCTCATGGTACAGTGGTTGAGGTGGATGTCTTGAAAAGCTTTGGTTTTGTGCACATGGCAAAAGAAGAGGAAGGGAAAGCAGCTATTATAGCACTGAATGGTTACATACTGGATGAAAGGGTAAGATTGAGTGAAATTGATTATACTGTACTCTTAATACTTTAAGGGATGAATTATTTGAAGTTAGAAGTGTATTGATTTTAATGGCTTATGGGTTCTAAGTGAGTGACTTGCAAGATCTACCACCACTAAGCTCTCATGTGATGATGATGATAATGATGACAGGACCTGCCATTGCCAGTGGGATTGTTTGTTTAAAGGCAAGAGACATGCATTATCCATGTGGACTGTTGGTACTGCGTCACAACTCCTCACCCAGTCACAACAGAATTCTGTATTTAATTTAGTGGTTGTCTCATTCTAAATGTGCTGGCAGTCAAGTAAGGAGTTAGAAAGTCTCAATCAAGTTTGTGTATCTTGAACCACAACACTGTATCTTCTGGTTTCGCACAAACTAAGAAGGCGCAATACCCTTTCCCTGTTCTAAACTCCAAAGAAAAAAAAAATCTATATTTTTAATAAAGCTTTTTAACAGAATATTTGTTCCTGCAATAATTAAAGTTAATCACTACAGTCTCTCCTTGACTTACGACATATTCAACTTACAACAACCCAGACATACGACGGCCCTGTCTCCTCCTCTGCTTCATCCAATTAATGTAGTCTCCATGCTTAATTAAAAAATTATTGAGGCCCCGTGTGCATTCAGCTGACTACATTAAAGGTAAGTGCACAGTAACACTTCATTCATTATTGATTACTTTTACTGTACTGTATTTCATTTTAGAATTTCTACGTATAGTACTATTTTCGCCTTTTCGACTTACGACCAATTCAACTTACGACCTGGTCGTCGGTACGGAACCCCGTCGTAAGTCGAGGAGAGACTGTACTCTGTAATATAACCTGCTAAAGTAAATTTGCTAAGGTAAGGGGTAGAGCTGAAAGAAAATTTGCACACATCTGAAAACTGATTACAGTAAATGCTTAACCTAAATTAATATGGTAATACAGTATGGTGTTGTTAAAAAAAAAACTGCCTAGTTTCATAAAAAAAAGATTTGGGGCTGTGAAAATTGTGATACCTGTACATCTGTTGAACATTTATTTTTTCTTTTATTTTTTTTTCTTAAGGCCATAGGATGACCAACTGTGCCTAAGTAAGTGGACACAGAATGGTGATTAATATGATAACAAGTGATGTCCAGGAAAAATAATTAATCTACTTATCTGAAAAGGTCATCACATATTTTCTTACTTATAGGGATGGTACAAATAATTTGTCACCATTGAAGTTTTGCCTCCTCAAATGGTACAGTACCAACATCTGGTCTATGGATGGCCTATTAGTTATTTCCTTTGGCCTTATAATGGAATTTCTTATTTTATTGCTTCATTTTCAGAAATATTTAAGAGATTTCATTAAACTTGGAATTTCATATGAAATAATTAAACAGATTACAATTTAAAATTGAATAATGTATGCATAGGTTATGATTTTTGGCTGTTTTAATGAGCTTTATACCTTTGATTTCAGCCAATGGTAGTTAAAGCTTCAACTGGTGCTAAGAAGGGTGGTAACCAAAGGACAAAAATCTATGTTGGCAATCTACACAAAAATACCAAACTTCTGGAACTAAAACGACTTTTTGAAATGTATGGCAATGTGGTAGAAGCTGATATCATTACCAACTATGCATTTGTTGTAAGTATAGTGCCTTGTATCTCAACACATTATAGTATGTTGTAGAATTATTTCATGCAGGTACTGTAGTGGATCATTTGGCTTTATTTGTCCATGCAAGTACCATAGTTGAAATCAAGGTACTCTTATTTCCCAATGACTGTTCATCTCACTGGCCCCATTCACACTGCAGCACCACTTGTTCCTCGTCTAGATGTTCATTAACTTCACATTGTACCGTCCATGATTGTTTTTGTGTTTTTCGATGTCTTTTCCTGTTTACCACCTCCTTTATTCCTACTTATAAATGCTCACTTAGATGACCATAATCTTTTCACAGGTATTTGTTTGTTTCTCAGTGCCAGCAGCTGATTTATTTATGATGCCTTAACCTGCACGTTAGGGCATGTTGGCTGAATGGATACAGTGCTTGCCTACAGTCTTAAGGGTTGTTGGTTTGATGCTGGGGCACTCCCAGTTCATCCAGCTGTAAATGGGTACCTAACTTTACTGTTGGGGAAGTTAAGGTAGTCTGTCCACCACAAAGCTTGACTTCTTACTAAAAGAAGAGTGTGAAGGAAATACCGATTGTCATTCGTGACAAAATGATCACTGGACTATGATGGTTATCCCCAGAATTATACTTCTGCTCATTGCCCAGATACAGTAATATCTCCGTTAGCCGGAACCCCTCTTAACCGGAAGTCTCCGATAGCCTGAATTGAAATTTTTCTCGGAAAATCGTTCCCAAAACCGGAATTTTCCAGAAAATTCCAAGAAAATTTTTCTGGTACAGTACTCAGAAAATTCCGGGGATGGGGGATTTTTTCCGGCTTTGAGAGAGTCGTCGCGTTACCAGGAAATCTCTCATTCCCGAAAGTGCTCTGCACCAATTAATCTGGCTAACAGAAATATCTCTTCTAGTACTGTATACAATATTCATGTACAGTGCTAGTTTTTATTACCAAATCTTTTTGTGGAAAAGTAGGGGGTTGATTTAAATGCAGGTGATACTTTCAAGAGGTTGAAATCCATGCAACTTGGGAGCAAAACTACAGTGTCTTGAAATTGTAAAATCATCAACTACCATAGCCTATAATTCTTTTCTGGTGCATGTCACTTAGCTTTTTGTTCCAGCAGTAATAATAATATCTTGTGTGCCTGAGACATAAACAATATTTACCATAACTCCTAGCAACCGTATCCTCTCCTTGTCCAAACATAAACATGTCATCATCGACAAAACAAACACGTGAATAACATGCAGCGCTATCACTTAGAACCTAACTTAGGAAATATCATAATTCACAAAATATAATTTATAAGATTCAGTAATAAGTTTGAGTATCAGGAATCCAAAATGCTTGGGACCAAGAGGCTTTCAGAAAATAAGTAGATTATTTAGGAAATTTTTAATATTTACTTCAGGAACCAATACACTTGTATGTATATTTAATAAATGTCCTCAATACAGTATTTGTTTTGACAAAGATCAGCCTGTGATCGGTCAGTGGTGTGGGATGTGTACACAGTTGCCTCTACAGATGGAAATAAATTTATAGTGAAATGGGAAAATGAGTTACTTAACAAAATTATGAACAAAGAAAGTGTATTGATGTTTATATACCATGACACAGCAATGGAAGTATAAGAGATTATGATGTTACCTGTATCATCTGCTTGGGTAAGCAGTCGGAGTTGCCAGCTGTACAATGTTTTCAGCCACATATTTCATGATTGGTTTCGTAATTTCACTTGTTTGAGCATAGGAGTAGTGTTAACCACAGCTTGTTCCCCTTTTTCAAATTGCCTTAACACATCTACATTCACATCTAAACTAACACTTCCTTTGTTTTTTCTGTACCTGACCACATAATGATTACTTATTCTTTGTTTTAAGTTTCTGTGCTCATATTTCATATTCTGTCATTATTTAAGGTGTGAGAGTAAGCTGCGTAGATATGTGGCGTGGTGTGGACTTGGCCTAGCATTGAGGTGGTCTGGTGGCGGGTCTGGTCGACTGAAATAAATGTCCTAAAGGAATTTTTTTGGGCTGTAGTTCCATACCCTGTATTTCACATTGAAATACTGTACATAGAACCGTATAACATGATTTGATATTTTTAGTAACATCTCTCAATAGTGGAACAATTGATGCATACCTAGAATAATACTGTTGCACTTTGTTTTCCTTATAAAATTTGAGAACAAATAAGGAAAAATCGGGCTATCTGAGTGCTTACTGGCCTGGCTGGCAAGGTGTGGGTTAATGGGTGATCAACTATTTATATCGGCTACAGCTCATCAGATGATTGTAATTACAGCACATGATGAGTACAGGTATTTAGAAAGGAAATATTTCTAGAAATTAATTTAATTTAATTAACTTTAAACAGCTATAGTTTTCATATTATGATACAGTAATCAGTAAACTGCTGATCTTAAATTTTTGTTCATGTTTTCTGTAATCGGATATCACACCCTCACTGCAGCAGATACCTGTGACTGTAAGACACGGCTTTCTCACCAATAAATATTAAATTTATTGTAAGGAATGCATTGATAAACACATTTTTTTCAGTAATCACAGTACTTTACAGTGGCCTCATGAGTTTTGCAGTTGCTTTGTTTTGGGGACCCGGCACAGAACTACTGAATCGCGGAGCTTGTGATATATGTTTGCGTGTTAAAGGTGCTTGTTGATTCTGGTGGTTGTGCCAAAGTTCCACTTTTTTGCCCTTTCCGTCCCCCAATTTCAACCATAAAACAATGCTCTAATGTGGCCTAAAAATGTATGTGTAGAGAAGTACAGTAGTTAGGTGTGGTGGCTGAGGGTGGAATGATTCAGCAAAAGTTCCCCCCTATTCAGTTCCTAGTGATACGTTTACAGAGACGAACAGCTGACCAACCAGCCAGCCAGGGAAGGAGCTGTTTATGTACTATAGAAATATTTTTTGTACAATATCTATGTGTTACTGTATGATTTATGTATTATGTACAATGTTTAATGCTTGTTACAGTCTCGTGTTACCAAACTATATTTTATATAACTGAAAACAGTCTAATGTATCACACAATAATATTTAACTTATAATTTCAGGCAGAAGGTACAAAACACATTTTATTAGTACGGGGAGCGTGAGACTTGGGAGGAAGGTGCACAGATGTTGCAAGACGGGGAATTTAGGGGTCAGCGTGAAACTCATGAGTTGCAGAACTTGAGCCGAGTGAAACTCGTGATGCCACTGTACAGTACATGGTTTGTGATGGATACTTTTTATTGAGGCTTCCTAGCACCACAGGTGATATATTCCTATTGGTTGTGGCATTCATGCCTAAGTGCCACACCAACGACTGATCACGTGCCACTTTTTATCAAAATAAAAATTGACGAATTTTATTAAGTATACTGTACTGTGTACAGGTATATGGGTTCCTGGAGTACATAACATTTCTGAAATTACTGACTGCTTGGATTCCTGATAGTCATGTGTACACTACAGGGTACTAGAATTTGGGAATTGCAAGTTTGAGATACAACTTAATGTCTTGAGGCAGATTCATCCTGCTACTGTACAGTACTGTACCATTCTATTGGCACAAGTAGGATAAAAAACCAGATATGAGATATCTGGCTTTATGATAGGCTGGATATCCATCATTCAGTTACAGTAATATCTTCATTAGCCGGAATCCCTCAAACCCGGAACTCTCCGATAGCCGGAATTTAAATTTTCTCAGAAAATCGTTCCCAAAGCTGGAATTTCCCGGAAAATTCCGGCTTTGGGAAAGATTTTTCAAGGGGCAAATTTTCCGGAAATTTCCGAGAAAATTTTCCCAATACCCGGAAAATTCCGTACAATTCCGGGGATGGGGGAGTTTATTTCCAGGTTTGAGAGATGAAAATCAGGCGCATTTTTTTTAAATTGAATTGAAATTTTTCTGTTACCTGGAAAATTACAGAGATGAGGGATATTTTTCCGGGTTCGAGAGATGATCTAAAGCAGGGGTGGGCAAAGTACGGCCCGCGGGCCACATTTGGCCCGCCAAATTATTTCTGTGGCCCGCCACTGCATTTGGCAATCATAAAAAAAAATTCTTATTAATTACAGAAAGGACAATTTTGGAAGTTGGGTGGACATAGCAGCAATACTGGTTCGTCGCTGTTAACCTGTGGCCCGCGAAGTGTGCCACCATTCATGAAGTGGCCCGCCATCGAAAATAATTGCCCACCCCTGATCTAAAGGGTAATTTTTGGAACTTCCGAGAAAATTTTTCCATTACCCGGAAAATTCCGGAAAATTCCAGGGATGGGGGATTTTTTTCCGGCTTTGAGAGAGTCGTCTCGTTACCCAGAAATCTCTCATTCCTGGAAGTGCTCTGCACCAATTGTTCCGGTTAATGGAGATATCACTGTACAGGGTATTGGTAAATTTGCCGCATGGCGCATTCCTCATAGACTCTGGTTCAAACATTCCCAGCCTTCTATACTCTTAACTCCTTCCAGTGGGGGCTTACACATACCCACCCCTCACCTCCTTACTAGAGGTAGGCTACAACTTCTTAACTTAAAGTATATCCAAACAATAAAGGAATTATGATACTACCCTTTATAGAAGAGGAGAGAGGGAGGGAGTTGTTAAGTTCATGATCAAATTTTGGTGCTGCCAGGATCACAACACTTATGCCTGGAGTTTTAAACACCCTCTTCAACGGAAAAGGGTGTTTATAACTCCGGGTGTTAATCTAGTCACAGGGTAGAAGATGCTGTGCCTACCATAGGTGTTTGAAAGTTAGGTGTTTATAACTTTGGGGAGTTCTTGCATGTAAATTTTAATGTACAGTACTATATACAGTATAACAATGGCACACTGCTGTATTTGTAGAATCATCCCCTTCAGTACACAGGGCTAGTTATGACCTTTTGACATGAAAGAACGGTTTAGTATCTTTTTTCTTCTGATAAATTTGTTTAAAACCAGTCTTTTTTTTTTCTTTTCTTTTTTCATATGAAACCGTCTACAGTCTATGTAAATTTGGTTGCTCTTTCACATGAAACCAGAAAAATTAAGAAACGATGTTGATGATGTGAACTCATGCATTACAGTGTTCAATACAGTACTGTACTGGACTATACAATCAACTTGTATTTTAACCAACAAATAACCAAATAAGAACAATAACCGTTAGATATAAAAAAGGTGGATATTTTTACACTTTGTATTGGTGAAATACAGTACAGGGTACTGTAAGAAAATTGATAAGTAATAACAAGGCTTATAGTTTGAAAGAAATGGAGTATCAAAAAAAAAATCCCAAATTGTTCACTCCTTATTTACATGTCAATATTTTTTACTTTTTTTTATTCTAATGGTTATGGTGGTTTTAGAATTATGCTAGCAGAAAAAATTTGGCTGTAAACTATTTTATAAAACAAAATTCTGTCCCCACGTTTTGTACTGTTCAGTTGAACAACATCCTGGAGTGTAATATACTATACAATAATACTGCACTGTACATTCTTTATACAGTACTGTAATATTATATCAATATAATAAAACTATTTTAAAATAATCTTACCTTTTTATGTGATAGTAGATGTTTGTGGGAGTTGCAATTGGGGGAAAGGTATGATATATGAGAAAGCAGTCTCCATACTTTTAAAAATTTAAACACATACAGTTGTACCCCACTTAACGCGGTCAATTGAACCCAGAGGGTCCCGCGTTAAGTGAACAACAGAACATATGGGATTAATTCCAATAGAAACCGGCCCGACCCCCACTCCAAAGGCACATACCTAAGTACATCTTAATTTTATGATGGTACATGCACACAATTAATACTTAAGGGAAATAGAGAAATACAGTCGCCAAGTTAATGTCCATTCAAATAATGGACTCAACTCCCTCCCCCTCTCACACTACACAGCCGGCTAACAGATGGTCGGTCGGTCCCTCCCTCCCCCCCCCCACCCCCCACCAACCGTCCCAAGGAGATGTGTGGGATAACCTCAAACTAAAGTTAGGAAAATATAATTGACATTGCTGGATTCCTTGTAAGACCAGGAATATTTTGAATATAAATGTCATATATTTTGCACAAAAGATAACATAGTTACCTTTATATTCAAAATGATCACCAAATTATAAGAATTCCAGCAATGTAAATTATATTCTGACCGGGTAATTTGTATGAATTTTATGAGCTAAAACAAATATCTTCAGTTAATAAAAAAAAAATAATCTTCACGACACTATCTGTCAATAGTACCCCACCTTGGCGGTCAGGAGTTTTTAACATTTAGTATTAAATAATACCTCAGATTAAAGTTAGGATAATATAATTGACATTGCTGGAAAGACCAGGAATATTTTGAATATAAATGTCATATATCCAAAAGATACCATAGTTACCTAGCTAAAAATTGCAAAATATATGATGTTTATATTCAAAATGATCACCAAATTATAAGAATTCCAGCAATGTAAATTATATTCTGTAATTTGTATGAATTTTATGAGCTAAAACAGGGGTAACAGATGGTCATCCCAAGGAGATGTGTGGGATAACCAGTTAGGATGACATTGCTGGATTCCTTGTAAGACCAGGAATATTTTGAATATAAATGTCATATATTTTGCACAAAAGATACCATAGTTACCTAGAGCTAAAAATTGTAAGTTTAAAGCAAAATATATGATGTTTATATTCAAAATGATCACCAAATTATAAGAATTCCAGCAATGTAAATTATATTCTGGCCTGGTAATTTGTATGAATTTTATGAGCTAAAACAGGCAGTCAGGCAGGGTGGCGGGTGGGGCAAATCTAAAAATAGCGTCTCGGACACTCACCGCGTATATGTGGAAAAAATCCGCGTTAAGTGAAAGTTCAGCTTTGGCAAGGCACCGCGTATATGCGAAAACGCGTTAAGTGAAACCGCGTTAGGCGGGGTAAAACTGTATATCAAAAATAAACATACAGTATAAACACTTGTAAATACACTCTGAAACACTTTTCATCACTTTAACACATTACCAAGACATTTATCTTATTCACATAGGGGATTTATTGTGCAAGTTACACACATGATGGTTACAAGCTTAAACAGGTGATATACCCTGTACTGTATTTATATAATCACTTATAAAAACATGACACAACACTTTGCATCACTTCCAAATGGATTAGACGTGTTTATCGTATGGACAAAGGGGCAGTATTGTGTACTTTAAATATGACCGTTGCAAGTTGGAAAATGTGAAATATCATAAAAAAATAAACACTTTACAGGTGTATATTACTGCATTATGGAGGGCATGAGATGGATGGCACAGAGTACCTTCTAGCTTGCCTGCTGACAAAAAACTTGTCTCCATAACACTGCTCTATGGACAGTTGCTATGTAACTACGTAATTGGAAATGGAGTACCATAAGAGAAGAGGCCTACAGGAATGACATACCAAAATCTCACACATCAATTAATCAGAATTACTAAGTTTATGGTGAATTATTAGGTCTTATCTGATACAAATACGAGTCAGTGCCAATTGGACTGAATTATGATTGACTCACTCGTATCATGGTGTGTGAGAGTGTTAATCTAACAGTAATAATAGTAACCAAAACTCAATTGGCTTAAGTCAGGATTTATATCAGCTTCAGACTGTCATCTGATATTTTGGACAACATCTGATATCTTCAGTAGAAGGTCCAGTATTGGGTATATCAGAAGAATACCCCCCCAATTAGTTTGATATACTGTACAATACTGAAGTTAATTTATAATTGTGGAGGATATTTTGATTTTTTAACAAATTCACAAGTTTGTGTCGCTGGGAATCTAGATTTAACTCTGTCACCACTTGCTGAGTGTACAGCGTTGCTTGGTTGGAAAATAAGATTTTAGGATGAAACCTTCATTTTTTCCCATAATTTGAGAAATTGTTTAACTAGCATAAATCATTACTTCCTGCCAGAGATGGATTATTTTTACATGTGTCAGCTTTTTCCTCATAACATGAAGATGTAATAATGTTTGCTAAACATGAATCAGAAGTAGTGACTAGAGTTAATAATCCCTTGCAATGACTTGAAACTGTTTATTAAAAATGTTATTAACACTTACTATCTGCATAATATTTTGGGCCTTGCAAATACTAAATACAGTATGCACTATGATGGTATGTTTTTATTTGCATTCTTCAGTTTTTGTCAAAATCATACTGCAGAATCATAACATAAGTCACTTTGCTTTCAGTATGTCACATTTTTGTGTATCAATGACCACCTGCAGTAATCTCATAATTTTAATCTGAATTGGCAGTCATTCCACAGGTACATTATTATATACTGTACCGAATAAAAATATATCTGAACAATGCATACAGAAAAGCTTTTGTCTCTTATGAAACCAAATTGGTGCCTCCTGTAATTAATTTGATGAGAAAAAAGTTGAGACGTGAGCTGGGAGAATTAACTTCTATTCCTTAAATTCTTGTATTTTGAATGTCATTCCTCTTTTTCTTGGGGTATTTTAGCACATGGATGATGAAGCTCAAGCCCAGCGAGCAATTCGTGAGCTAGATGGGCATGAGTTCCATGGTTTGCGCCTGAAGGTCCGAAAATCCACTTCTCATGCGAGACAGGAGGCTGGGATCAGAAACCCTGATATGTACTTTCCTAGTGGATCCAGTGGTAATTGGTTTCGGCAGTATCCCAGTGATGAACGAATTGAAGCCTCTCGATATCCTGATTGTGAACGAGGAGGACAGAGCTTTGGAAGAAAAAATGATCTGTATCCACCACTTCTTCCGCCCAGCTATGCCAGGGAGCATATGATGCATTACAGGGTCAGTTCCTAGTGATTATTTAAAAAATCAAGGTTCAGGGTAGTTAGTTGTTTCTACAGAAAAAACTGTCACTAGTCTCCTATATTACTTGAAATGGTAATGGAATTAGATTCAATTTAGAGTACTGTACAGTATAATGCTAATGAACTACCCACATCCAGTAACCTGCCTAATAGTGTATTTAAATTCTATCATAATATATATTAATGTGTTCATAAAAGTTCAATTTCATTATATTAGACTGATATTCGTATATGTACCACATTCTATTATATAATGTTTAATTTTATAATGGAATGTTATACAGTGCTGTGCATTTAATTTTGAGTGCCAGATTGTGCACACTTTCAGGGTTGGAAGCTGCAAGTGTTGACACTGTTATACAGAACTACATTAACTGTTAAGATATATACACTTCTGTACTGTATATCTTTTCTGTATATGTTGCTCAAACACAAATTTGATGAACATATTTTCACTATTGTCATTATTCTTAGTGAAGAAATAGTGATGGTATACAGTACACAAGGAGTTGATGACAAGTCTGACAAAGATGGCAGTAGAAGTACTGTTGGTGCTGGGGGTGAGGAAAAGTCCTTTAGGTTATCACCAGCCTAGGAAGGTGTTGGGTGATGGTGGTGGCAAAGAAAGGACCTTTAGGTCATCACTATCCTAGGAAGGTGTTGGGTGATGGTGGTGGCAAAGAAAGGTCCTTTAGGTCATCACTATCCTAGGAAGGTGTTGGGTGATGATGGTGGCAAAGAAAGGTCCTTTAGGTCATCACTATCCTAGGAAGGTGTTGGGTGATGGTGGTGGCAAAGAAAGGTCCTTTAGGTCATCACTATCCTAGGAAGGTGTTGGGTGATGATGGTGGCAAAGAAAGGTCCTTTAGGTCATCACTATCCTAGGAAGGTGTTGGGTGATGATGGTGGCAAAGAAAGGTCCTTTAGGTCATCACTATCCTAGGAAGGTGTTGGGTGATGATGGTGGCAAAGAAAGGTCCTTTAGGTCATCACTATCCTAGGAAGGTGTTGGGTGATGATGGTGGCAAAGAAAGGCCCTTTAGGTCATCACTATCCTAGGAAGGTGTTGGGTGATGATGGTGGCAAAGAAAGATCCTTTAGGTCATCACTATCCTAGGAAGGTGATGATGATGGCCAGGAAAGGTTCGTTGGATCATCACTAGCCACACTGTTATTATTATGGTGTTGCTTTTGTTGGAATTTAATTACAAGAGAATCCTCAGTCTGTTCTGACGGTGTTCTGGAAGTATAGATGTCCAATAATTCAACATAGAGTACTCCTGTATTAGCCATTATTGGGAGGATGAATTATGTAATATCTGCTACAGTATCTGAATTCATCCGTTATCTGTAACACCCTACCAATATGATTATTCCTGTACACTCTACTGAAATAAATAGTAATTACATAAGATACTCTACATTATCTTCATCATTATAACGGTCTCAATTGACAATTGATACATTAATTAAAAATATCATCTTTAAATTATTTTTGTTCCATCTTTATTTTGTTTTTCTTACTCAAATTTTTGTCACATAACTTTGGGCTGACAACAGAGGGTACAAAGTGATGTTAAAAAAAAAGCATTTATATGCACAAATGTCAGATTCCTAAAGACTACAGAAATTACCATATCCAGTATTGTGACTTCTCTTTGTAATCAAATGCCCCCCTTTCAGGATGACTTTGATCAGTATTATGATGAGGGTCTATATGAACGTCATTATGGTGATCATCCTACACCTCCACCACCAGTCCTAGACAATCTGTATAATCGCCGCCTTCCCCCACTTCCTCCTCATCCCGATTTCCTAAGATATGGTCGAGGCTTACCTCCACCAAGGTTGGTGTTTAATTGTTGTAGATTCTCTGATTGACAAGGGTGCAGGTCCAATGGACCTTAGGTATGTGGCAATAACCATCAGATACCCAAAGAGACCTTTTAAGGGAATTGTGTGAAGATTATCTATCAATCATGAGTGAATGAATGGGTTAAAGTGTGTGAACAGTTGATATTGTGCAAGTTCTATTTTGTGTTCATACTGGTTTAGGAAAGGGTTGCAATTACAATATAATCTGTAAAAATGGAGGCTACTCACTTTTCCCTGAAGAAAGTGATGTAATGAGGTGTGAATATTTAGTAAAAGCGTATTCAGTATACAGTACTGTACTGTTTGGTTGAGAGTTTTGGGAGGAGGTTGGTAAGTTTTTATGTTTGCATTTGTGGATGGTTGTGTTTGGATCTGTAGATGTAATTGAGTATGTGGGATTAGTGTTCTGCTATGGTGCATATTTTGTTATGGAAAGTGGGCATGTTTCACCCTGAAATTGTTGGGGTAAGTGAGATGTTGTGATGAACTGTCTTACTAGTGTAGAGGTGGTGTTATATTTCGTGAATTCTTAATTTAAAATGTTGATGGTTAATACAGGAGTATTTTTTGTTTTAGTGCAAGCTGTTACTGTTCTAAAGACTTTGTGTTACAGTAAGTCTTTTCGAGTACGTACTGTACATTGTTTCCTGCCATATTAGAAGCAACTCTTTTGTTTGTTTCATTTTCTTCTTATACAGTGGCCCCTCGGTTAACGAACTCAATCCGTTCCAGAAGGTCGTTCGTTAACCGAAACGTTCGTTAACCGAAACCATTGTTTCAATGGGTTTTTGGGTAATTGGTTCCAGCTCACCGAAAATTTCCTAAATTCAACAAAAATGGTAGAAAAGTTCACTTACTTTGAGGTGTGTATGTAGAAGGCTCCTGGATGATGATGATGATGATGGGATTTAGAATGGGGGTGGAGGAGAAGGAAGAAGAGAAGGCATTGGGGTGGAAGAGAAGTCACCCCATGGTGCCATTTCACCCATAAAATTTTAGCTCTCTGGTTTAATTCAAGATTATTTTCTTTAAATCAACGCTGCACTGCATTATATATTGTCAATATATAAAATATATTTCAAAATGACCAATAATTTGCTTGGAAACACAGAAAAAAAGCGTTTAGTTGAAGAGAGTCTCAAGCAAGATGTTACCTCCAGTGAAAACAGAGAGAGACTGACGCCTGTTTGCTGTGTTAAGAGGCTGGATGCCGCGCATTAAACTAGTCACTTTACCTTCAATTTTGTTCAATAATTGTTAAAATGACTAAAAAATTGAATATTAAACTTTTAAAATTATTGAATAGTATAAACTTCTTGATATTTACAAAAATAGTAAGGAATTTAAGCCCTAGAACCGATTAATGTATTGGCGGACTGATACTAAAGCTGGTTGCCCGGTCAGTGCAAGCGAAAACATGTTGAGGTCGGTTCGTAAGAAGTTCGTTAAGCGAATTTTTTTTCGTTAACCGAATTGAAGATCCTTATGGAAGGCAGTTCGTTAATCGAAATTACGTTAACCGAGGTGTTCGTTAAACGAGGGGTCACTGTATAGGATAGCAGCACTCTTTCCTTTATTCTTTGTTCAATATTTTATGTAAGGAAGTTCATGTGACTACATTTACAGTCCCCTTCACTAATGCATTTACAGAGGCTCGTCATATAAACATTCCACAAATCATTACATTGAGGTACAGTAATATCTCCATTAGCCGGAATCCCTCAAGCCCAGAACTCTCTGATAGCCGGAATTGAAATTTTCTAAAAAGTCGTTCCCAAAGCTGGAATTTTCTGGAAAATTTAGGCTTTGGGAATGATTTTCCAAGGGGCACATTTTCCAGAAAATTCCCAGAAAATTTTCCCGATACACAGAAAATTTCGGGGATGAGGGATTTTTTTCCAGCTTTGAGAGTCGTCTCATCACCCGGAAATCTCTCATTCCTGGAAGTGCTCTGCACCAATTGTTCCGGCTAATGGGGATATCACTGTAATTGTTTCAATATTGTTTTACTTTGATTCCATAGTAGTGTGGGGTTAACATGATGTTGGATCACACTAGGATGGAGGTGAGAAGGGAAACTCAGCTATGGTGTTTTCTATATATATATTATATATAGTGCAGTGCCAGGGAGTTGCTGTGTGGTGAGGAGCTTGTTGAGAGGAGGTCTTGTTGGTTTGAGTGCGCTCAGTAGAATGCCTTTCACAGCGAGGCTGTGAGCTAATATACACATCCACCGGAAGTAAGCGTCGCTGTTGGACCCCGCGCAGTCCAGACGGCTAGGCTTGTCAGAGAAACTCGTCGCGAGATCGGCTATCAGCGACTAACGGCAGTGGCAGTTGTAGGGGAGAGTATCCACTACAATACTCCCCCTCCCCTTCGAGCACTGCAGGAAACTTGTCAGCAGGGTTGTATTGGACATGTGAGACATAACGGGCGGGAGTGTGAACCACTCAGCCGCTACGGGTGACGACTCTGTCTAGTGACACGAGATCTGTGGGAGAAGCAGAGGGAGAAGAAGGGTTGTGGATAAGAGAAGGTTGAACAGGCGAGGAATGTGGTGCTTCTCTCGCGGCAGGTGCAAAGTCCTCAGGGGCGCCGGGTGGGGTGTCTGGGTCCATAGGTCCGGATGCAGGATCCTCATCAGGAGCAGGGTCCACGTCAGGAGAAGTACGTACCTGAGGATGAAAAGAGGGTACCCAAAAATGTTGTGGGCGAGGTGGTGCTGCAAGAGGCAATTGTGGACAGACAGGCGAAGGAGGTGCGAGATGAATGTGTTCAGGGCGATGGGAAGGCTGGCGTGGGGCAGTTGCCTTGAATGCAGAAACTGCCTGTCGTAGTGTTTGCAGTAGGTCGTGACGGACGGCAGGAGTGAAGTGGTCGAGGACAGGAGTAGGCGAGAAGTCCCCGGGGAGGTGAAGGGGTTCGCCTAGGGTGAGATCCGCTGGGCTGCAGTCCATGTCTTCTTTGTGTGATGCGCGGATGCCAAGGAGCACTAAGGGTAGAGCATCCGTTCAGCTGTAGGGGTCGTGCTGTGCCTTGATGGCGTCCTTCATCTGACGATGAAACCGCTCTACCATGCCGTTGGATTGAGGGTGGTAAGAAGTAGTGAGGTGTCTGGAAGTGCCGAGGAACTGTAGGAGACTATGCCAGAGGTGAGACTCAAACTAGACTCCTCGATCAGTGATGACAGTCATGGGAGGACCGAAACGGGAGACCCAACCAGACAGGAAGGCACGGACGGCCGACTCTGCTGTAGCATTAGGCATGGGAATGGCTTCTGTCCACCTGGTGAAACGGTCAATGCATGTAAAGATGTAGGTGTTGCCGCAGGATGATGGAAGAGGTCCCACGCTGTCAAGGTGCACTACCTAGAAGCGTCCTTTGGGTAAAGGGAAGGTTTCTCAGGGATCCCATGTGGGTCGATGTATCTTAGAGGACTGGTAGGCCAGGCACTGGGTAGCCTGTACACATGGGTGACTGAGTCCACGGATGTGGTCAGTGACATGCAGCGATGAGACGCCTGAAGTGACGGAGGTAGTGGGGTTTACCAACCCCCGTTGACGTCGCTTCCTTGTGTAGTTGCAAGGAGCCTCACAGTGTCTAGCTTTCGCACCAAAACGTTGATGGTACCAACAGAAGGCAAGTACATTGTGCTGGGGGCTGGCGGCGGCGTCTAAGGCAGGACAGGGCTGTCGGGGTTGGTAGGACACAGTGTGTGGGGCAGGAACAGGAGCAGCAGCAGGCATGGAGGAGCAGAGCTGGTCGAGGGTGTCCATTCTGCGGTGTAGAGGCAGTAGCAGGACCATCATGTCTTGTTTGTCTGGTGGAATGCTACTTCTCTGAGGAGCGTTGATCTGGTTGACAAAACCGGGGCTAAGTGAAGGTGTGACTGCTGAGTTGCCCGCGGCAACATGGCCCACAGCAGTGTATTCATGGAATATTCTGTCTGTCGTGGTTGCGTAGGTCGCCGGGGATGTAGAATAGTCCATTGCGGACAGGGCAAGACGAACTTCTGCAGGGAGCTTCTGAGTGTGAAGCTGCTAGCGCAGGATAGTGTCAGGAAGCCTGTCTGTGTGGCGAGAGTTTGGTGCAGGCGTTGATTTGCCGAGGGAGAGACCGGAGAGGTCTTGCAGGAAACTGGTGTCAGGCCGCTGGTATAACCTCTTGAGAGCATCTCGTAGAGCTGCAAACTTGTTGTCATCTGGGGGCTTAGTGATGACTTCTGCATCTTGTGTGGTGACTTCTGTGGGCAGGGAACAGACCAGGGTGATGTACTTCTGTTCGTCTGTAGCTGTAGAGCCGATGAGAGCTACCTCCGTGTGGATTAGCCAGTCTTCAATGTTGTGATTGAAGACTGGAAGAGTGATCCGCTTCTAATAATAATAAATAATAATAATTAACGGTTTATTGAAAAAGTTCTGCAGCCCGAAGGCTGAAAATATACATTGGACATAAATGGCTTATTACATACATTGGTGGTTTAACAAAAGCCTTCATTAGAGATAGGTAAAGGAACATACAGTGAACATACAGATTAATGAAGGTGTTGAACAGCAAACACGTAGTGTAGTAACTCTCTCCCAGATGGTGTTAGGAGGGACCTCGTGTGGTGTAGTGGTTCCCTCATCCATCCTGTGTGAGTGCGTTACTCCGGGGGTCACCATTGTGGGGTTAACGTGATGTTGGATCGCACTAGGATGGAGGTGAGAAGAGAAACTCAGCTATGGCGTTTTCTATATATATATATATTATATACAGTGCAGTGCCAGGGAGTTGCTGTGTGGTGAGGAGCTTGTTGAGAGGAGGTCTTGTTGGTTTGTGTGTGCTCAGTAGAATGCCTTTCACAGCGAGGCTGTGAGCTTATATACACGTCCACCGGAAGTAAGCATTGCTGTTGGCCGGCCCCACCCCCCCCGGTGCAGTCCAGACGGCTAGGCTTGTCAGAGAAACTCGTCGCGGGATAGGCTATCAGCGACTAACGGCAGTGGCAGTTGTAGGGGAGAGTATCCACTACATTAGGTTTACTATTGCGAGTTTCCTTCTGTCAAATGTAAACAAACACAGGACTGCCACATTGCACAAAACTTGACAAACCCCTGTGAATGCACTAGTGAAGGGGAGTGTACAACCTGTTTACTCCCAGTTAACTGCGAGTCAACAGAATCGAACAGAACTTACCCAGTAGTCAAACTGTTTTAGTGATTACTACTTGTGGGGGACAGATACAGCATGAAGGGTTGCGATTATCCTCATTTAGGTACTGTAGATTTTTTCTGTCTTTTATAGTTACTTAAGTATGTACAGAATTTTGAGAGAAAATAGTTCATATTTTTTTGAAGAGAGTAAATGTTTAAATATGGCATGAAAATTTTAATTAGAATAAAAAGCAACCCCAAAGTCCCAGCAGCACTGTTTGGGACTTTGTAGTGTATTTCATTATGGGGTCGTCTGGGAACCAATGTGTCAAATGGGGGAGACTGCAAAAGACTGTGCAGCATGTAAAGCTGCTATCAAGTAATTGCAGCTAATATTTGCTTTCATGGAAAAAGGCTGTAAAGCATTGATGATGATAAAGGGTAGAATAATATAAGGGTACTCTATTAAAAAAATATCTAAAATGGTATACTGTATATAATTAATATACTGTATGTACTATATTATACAGTGGTCCCTCGATTAACGAATGGTCCAATTAACGAAATTTTGGTTAACAAATTAGCTCCCATAAGGATTTTCAATTCCAGTAACAAACAAAACTTTGATTAACGAAAGCCTTACGAGAAACACTCTTTGTTGTGCGCATCAGCTGATCGGCTAGTCCGCCAATACAGTAATTGGTTCTATGTTTACATTCGTTTCCAGTGGAGTAAATATCAAGAAAGTTGTGCTCTTGAATATTTTTGCATTTTTTATATTAAAATTATTGGTCATTCTGAAATTTAGTTCATATATTGATAATATACAGTGCAGAAATTATTATGAAACATGAAGAAGGCATTAGAACCAATGCACTCTGTAAAGAATATGGCATGTCATCATCGACTGCCTCTACAATCAGCCGTTTGATATGTAAACAAAGCTGCCGGGAATACGACATACACACCTCAAATAAGTTAAAATGCAGTACTGTATTCTATTTTTTTTTTATTGTACAGTATACTGTACAGTACAGTACAGTACTTGTACTGTACCAGTATTTAGTTTATATTTAATGTTTTGTTAATTCTATTACCAGTATACAGTGCTTTGTATGTATACTTTTTCTGTGAGTTGGAACCAATTACCCAATATCCCATTGAAATAATATTCAGTTAACGAAATTTTCATTTAACGAACGACTCTGTGGAACCAATTGTGTTCGTTAATCGAGGGACAACTGTACTTGTACTGTTCACTATATTGAAGTCCGTGTATGTATGGACTACCTGTACAGTATAGAAATTTATTGATAGCCTTGCACTTTCTAGCTGGATTCTGCAAAATGCTACTACGACCACATAGTTGACATGGGCTAACCCCAGTGGTGGCTCCCATTGCTAAGAATAAGACAAAGGATCAGGCTTATAATTGTCCCTGTGGTGCCATGGTAACACTCCCTGTTCCCATGCAGAGGTTCCGGGTTCAATACCTGACTAGTGAAGTATTGTTTGTATATTGAGGTTTGTGTGTGTATAGATTATTGAGTTACATGAATGTATGTGTGATGCTCAGCAGTCCATGTACTGTAGTTAGGTGGCTCAGGATAAAAGGGGTTAAATGTCTCAGGAGAAGAAAGGGTAGGTGGCTTAGGAGACAAGAGAGAAGAGCAATAGATACCATCAGTGACATAAGTGTGGGGTAAACAAGATATACGGTAAATCAAGTACCTGTACTGTACTGTAGTAGTGGCATAATCAAGTGATGACATATTTGCAAAATAACAAAAGAGGTGACATAAACAATTAAACAGGGTATTACTGTATGTGTTTACTCAGAACAAGGGACAAATATGATGAACTTAAGTTGTAGATGACATGAGATAAAATTGATGTTTTAACATAAATTATTGTGTGTGTTTTTTCTTTTATTTATAAAGCATTTAGAATTTTAGGTAATGGGAATTACTGAATGACATTGATTGTTTTCCTTTTACAAAACAGCAGTCCTGTATATTTGAACCTTCACATTTTGCAGGAATCCACATCCTCGTCCTCCAATGCATGGGTGAGTGTGAAATAGAAAGTAACATTTTCCAAATAAGTTGCGTCTCAAAATCTTTTGTAGCTGTAGCTTTCATTCCATAATACTGATGTATGTGGTAAATTGATATATATATATTTTTGGGGTAGATCATCTGGCTTTTTTGTACTCTTATTTAATAGTTGATCCAGGAAAAAATTGTACAGATAAGAATTATATAATTCCCTTTCATTCCATATTGCTGCAGTAACGGCCCACCAAACCATCGACTATTTTGAGCCTGTGACATGATGACGCAGTAATTTGATGCCAGCAGACATTCATATCTTCTCATGTAGCATCCTTATGGCTACATCTGGACCCATACTGCCACTACTGTTTAGCTCTACGTGCCATACTACTCAAGCAATTTGCAGGGGGGTACATGAATCACATTCACGAGACCCTGATACCCCTAAAGGACATTATCATGTAACAGAAATGTCCCCATTACAACAACCAAATCTTGTAGTTTGAATTAATGATTATATTCAAGCCTTTTTGGTTACCAGCGTGTAATTGTTCCTTAATTTATGTACTGTGCATCATTTTTTTATAATTTATAATTTTGTTGACTACTTTGTGCTGTTAATGTCATAATTATAAGTAAATTATGAAAATTTGCCCATTTGTATTACTGGTCATGGAACCTTTCAGTAGCTGTGTATTTCTTTAATTACTTAATGGCCAATGAATGACCTGTAAGACCCATGCCACTATAGTGCAATTCCTTCTATCTGAACTCATTGTTACAAGAGCATGCAATAATTAATGTTAGGTCAAAATTCAATGTAGTGACAGCTTGACTCATTGGGAAGGGGAAAACTGGGGATGAGGTGGCCTGTAAGATGGCATTTTGCCATTATTTCATGTAATGAAACTATAAAAGTTGTGTAATAATGATTACAATACTCTAATATGACTTAGAAATAAAGAATAAATAAAACTATAAAATAAGAAAAATGAAGAGCATGAGTGTGTATGTGTGGGAAGTGAAAATATGAGTGAACTCCTGGAGGCAGTGCGCTTCTACCCCGATTTGACATCACAGCATTCACAAAGAGATAAGTCCTCGATTCCGATAATGATTAAACCAAGAAATAAATGCTAGTTTTAAGTGTAACTGTACAGATGAATATAAGTAAAACTACAGTAAAGTAAGTGTAAGAGGCCCCCCTTTGTCCTTGAACTCAAGATTCATCAAGATTCGTCTGTTACAATAATCTAAAAATTCACCTGATACAATTTAAGTACACTGTAAGTATAATTAAATTTAATTTTGTTTATGGATGTAATATTTTGGCAAAATGGTGATTGAAATTACTAGGGGGAGGGGGGGTATTATTGGTGTTGGAAGGGAGGGTATTATTGGTGTTGGAAGGGAGGGTATTGGTGGTGTTGAAAGGGAGGGTATTGTTGGTGTTGGAAGGGAGGGTATGGTTGGTGTTGGAAGGGAGGGTATTGTTGGTGTTGGAAGGAGGGTGGTGGTGTTGGAAGGAGAGGTATTGTTGGTGTTGGAAGGAGGGTATGGTTGGTGTTGGAAGGGAGGGTATGGTTGGTGTTGGAAGAGGTATTGTTGGTATTGGAAGGGAGGTATTATTGGTGTTGGAAGGGAGGAGGGGTATGTTGGTGTTGGAAGGAGGGTGTTGGTGGTGTTGGGAAGGAGGTGTGTTGGTGTTGGAAGGGAGGGTATTGGTGGTGTTGGAAGGGAGGGTATTGGAAGGAGGGGTGTTGGAAGGAGGTAAGGAGGGTGTTGGTGTTGGAAGGAGATGAAAGGAGGTTGTTGGTGTTGGAAGGAGGGTATTGTTGTTGGTGTTGGAAGGGAGGGTATTGGTAAGGGAGAATTGTTGGTGTTGGTATGGTTGGTGTTGGAAGGGAGGGTATGGTTGGTGTTGGAAGAGTTGTTGGTATTGGTATTGAAAGGGAGGGTATTATTGGTGTTGGAAGGAGGTATTATTGGTGTTGGAAGGGAGGGTATTGGTGAAGGTGTTGGTGTTGGAAGGAGGGTATGGTTGGTGTTGGAAGGAGGTTGGTGGTGTTGGAAGGAGGTATGGTTGGTGTTGGAAGGAGGGTATTGTTGGAAGGAGGGTATTGGTGTGTTGGAAGGGAGGAATTGTTGGTGTTGGAAGGAGGTGTATTGGTGTTGGAAGGAGGGTATGGAGAATTGGAAGGGAGGGTATTGTTGGCGTTGGAAGGGAGGATTGGTTGGAAGGAAGATGGTGTTGCAAGATTGTTGGTGGGAATTGGGTGTTGGAAGGGAGGTATTGTTGGTGCTGGTGGGAAGGGAGGTATTGTTGGTGTGGAAGGGAGAGTTGGATATTAAGGAAGAGGAATATGGTTGGTGTTGGATTTGTTGGTGCTGGAAGGAGGGAAGGGTTGGTGTTGGATATGGTTGAGCTAAGGAGGGTATGGTTGGTGTTGGAAGGTTCTAGGGAGGGAGGAGGTGTTGAGCTAGGGAGGAGGTGTCGAACTAGGGAGGATGGAGGTGTCTAGGGAGGGAGGTGTTGAGCCAGGGAGGGAGGGTTGAGGGGAGGAGGGAGGTGTTTATCTAGGCATGGAGGTGGGTGTTGACCTAGGGAGGAAGGGAGGTGTTTAGCTAGGGAGGGATGGGGATTCGAGCTAGGGAGGGAGGTGTCGACTAGGGAGGAGGAGGTGCCTAGGGAGGGAGGTGTTGAACTAGGGCAGGAGGTGGGAGGTTTGAGCTACGGAGGAGGAGAGGAAGGAGGAGGTGTTGAGCTAGGAGGAAGGAGGAGGTGTTGAGCTAGGGAGGAGGAGGTGTTGAACTAGGGAGGGAAGGAGGGAGTGTTGAACTAGGAAGGAGGGAGGTGCTGAGCTAGGGAGGGAGGAGGTGTTGTGCTAGGGAAGGAGGGAGGTGTTGAGCTATGGAGGGAAGGAGTGTTGAACTAGGAGAGGGAGGGAAGGAGTGTTGAACTAGGGGAAGGAGGAAGTGTTGAGCTAGGGAGGGAGGAGGTGTTGTGCTAGGGAGGGAGGAGGTGTTGAACTAGGAAGGAGGGAGGTGTTGAGCTAGGGAAGGAGGAGGGAGGAGGTGTTGAGCTAGGGAGGAAAGGAGGAGGTGTTGAACTAGGGATGGAGGAGAGTGCTGGCTAGGAGGAGGGAGGTGTTGAGCTAGGGAGGAAAGGAGAGTGTTGAACTAGGGAAGGAGAAAGTTTGAGCAAGGAGGGAGGAGGTGTGAGCTGGAGGAGGGAGGTGTTGAGCTACAGAGGAAGGAGGGAGGTGTTGAATTAGGGAAGGAGGAGGAGCAGGGAAGGAGGAAAGTTTTGAGCAAGGGAGGGAGGAGGTGTTTGAGCAAGGGAGGGAGGGAGGTGTTGAGCAAGGGAGGGAGGGAGGAGTTGAGCTAGGGAAGGAGGAAAGTTTTGAGCAAGGGAGGTAGGGCGATGCTGAGCTAGGGAGGGAGGGAGGTAGGGAGGGGTGCGTTTACCTAGGGTCTTATCAGACACTTACGATTTTTTTTTCTCTTAAGTGATTACACGTGATGATAAACCCATGAAGGGGAGGAGATGGCGCAGCTGCTAGGACAATTTAATTATGTGTTGATACGGCAAAATAAGACATCACAATGGCCAATAAGATAATGGATATTTAATCTAAAAAAAAATATATATGTAATATTATATTTGTACGTCTGGCTAGCCCACAGTGTTGATAGTGTTGTCAGCTGAGGAGGGCGTTGAGGCCACTGATAAACTTTCTCACAATGGTTTTGTCAGCGTGGCACTAATCTATACAAGTTCATATTACTTATCTCATCCTGCAGTAAGTATTGTGTGTCTCACTTTATATTTTACAGACTAAGTTCCCTAAGTTTCACTGAATACCAGTGTACATGTATAGAGTCATGGCTGTGTACCTGCACCGTCTTCTATGACAATGTACCTGCATTGTCCATATAGTATTCTTAATGAACCAATTATATAACGATTGTACTGTACTGAATATCTAGCTATTTCCAACACTTCACCTGGGCTCGGTCCTACTAATTACCCAAATGTACCCAAATGTAGCCGCAATGAAGTCAAATAATGGTCCTACATGAATAAATCGGACTGCCAATCACTTCTCGACTAGTATTTGGTGTCAGAAAGTAAAAAAAAATTGGAAAACTTAATTTAATCTGAGTTGTGTTAGGTTAGGTTAGGTTAGGTTAGGTTAGGTACATGCACTCGATCTATTAACTCAGATTAAATTAAGTTTACCAATTTTTTTTTACTTTCTGACACCAAATACCAGTCGAGAAGTGATTGGCAGTCCGATTTATTCATGTAGGACCATTATTTGACTTCATTGCGGCTACATTTGGGTAATTAGTCGGACCCACTGGGCTGGCACAGAATGGTCTGATGAAATTATTTCCAAATTTATCCATTTTTGGTTTTAAGGTAAGGAACACACCTAGCATGTACTGAATATGAAGTGTCCTATTAATACAAACGTATTTGCTAAGAACCAAGTTGTACTCCACAATATTAGAAAATTCAAATCTAGAATTATAACTTTACCTTATCAGTTGTCTCTTCAGGAGAGATATTGTACAATTATCAAAAGGTTCTACCATGTCAAAATTATTGATGTTGTACAATTATATCTTTAAAATAAAATTAAATAAAATTTTAGATTCAATATTACTGAGACCACAGAGTAAGTAGTACAGTATACATGTACTGTACTGTACTGTATTGTGCTTGGCACTGTTAGTTTAAGCTTAAGGGTACATCTTATATCTATGGAAAAGGAATGACGTTTTACTACAATAATGTATGTGTGTTTCAGAAATGGCCTCTAAGATACCTGAAGTATCATCACTGGTGTGCGAAGCTCAGTTGGCCTTTAAGGCAACATATGGAGGTAATGCGGACACAGCAGTCTCAGCACCAGGGCGGGTCAATATTATTGGAGAACACACCGACTACAATGATGGATTTGTTTTTCCTATGGTCAGTACCTGTTACCTTATCCTCTTGTTGTATCTACAGTATCTGTGTATGATCTTTACTCGTCACCTCCCTGTGTGTGTGAGGTAAAGTACTTGTATGAGGTAAATTTGTTTGTGGCAGTTCTCTGGAAGGTACAGTACTTCTAGATGAGGTTAATCAAAAGATACAGCTTCTTTTACCCCTAAAATTAACCACTCTAATGTTAACCTAACCTAATCCAAAGAAGGGGACAAAGAATAATGAGTACAGTATTGGAAGACGATTACTGCATAGGTAGTACAGTATATGGAAACAAAGGGATATGACAGTGTTTCTCAAACTGGGGGCCATAGCCCCCAAGGGGGTCACGGCCCCCAAGGGGGTCACCGCAAGATTTTAGGGGGCACCATGGCAGGCTAGTGTAAGTAGTATATGTTTGGAGAAAATGTGGAAACTCTGATTCAACTTTTTTTTTTGTTACTTTGCCTTGTTAGAGGAGAAACCTTTTTTTTTTTTTTTTTTTTGGTCATTGTGTGTAATCATAATACCCATAAGGTACGGTTTTGTTATTTACACAGTATGGTGCAGCAACTAGTTTTTCATTTCCAACGGATTCGCTCAGATTGCACGATTCTAGTTTCTGTTCAAACGAATTCCTTGATCTCAGGAACGATTCTGCTACCAGAGACCTCTATAAAGAAAACTCTCTGACTGTATTCTGGTGCTCAATGTATCAGTCATATCCAAAAGTTAGTGAGATCGCACTTCGAGTCCTCTTGCCATATTCTACTATGTACTTATTTATGTGAATCTGGTTTCTCCACCTTTCTTCAAATAGATAACAAAAGCCGAAACCGATTACATGTGGACCCAGACATGATATGTGCTTTATCAGTGACTCAACCTTGAATCAGTCGACTGACTGAAAGGAAACAATGTCATCCATCCCATTGAACTGTAACAAAATATGCATTCTGTTTGATGATTGAAAACCTTAAAATAAAGGAAGAGTACCAAAACAGTTTATTTTCATCATTATTTGTGAGGGGCTTGGGAGAGAACTGAAGGGGGGCCACGAGGATGTTGAGAGTTCCTCATGGGGGGAATGAAGTGAAAAAGTTTGAGAAACACTGAATTAAGACAAACTTTAGAAATGTCCAACACACTACAGTATACATAATATATAACATCAAGTATGTCGTCTCAGATGAAATAAAATAGTGAATAAGTCATGTTTACCAATACTTTAGAGGAATCTCCTCATCTAAATGTTTTGGGATGACTTCTTAAAGAGATCTAACGCTGATACTGATTGTTGAGCTCAACCTTAGGTGATATCCATCCCTTGGCCACATCAGTTCTTGTTACCACATTGTTTAGTGTAAAGAAACTCCTGTGTATCATGGAGGAGTTGATGGAGCTGAGTAACACATGGAAGTAGCAGATGGAGAGGAAGAACACCAACACCAGTGTGAATTTAATTAGTCTCAAAGTCATGCCTCGCCTTTATTCTATTCTTTTTTCTAATTTTATTTTACTTCGTGGTGAGCTCATTTTTGTTGTCTTGTTAAACACTAGGCCACTGGAATATCTCCCTTAAAGTTTTAAGTTTTAACATATCATTGGCTCTCAACTTTTATTTCACATTACCAACATATTCTTATAATAAAGGCAACATGAAAATATTTGCTTCTTGTATTGTTAATGCCTTGCTAATGTCAATCAATATTTATGCATTGAAACATAACTCCCCACATATCACAGTTGTGGAGGTTAACAATACAGTGATATCCCCGTTAGCCGGAACAATTGGTGCAGAGCACTTCCGAGAATGAGAGATCTCCGGGTAACGAGACGACTCTCAAAGCGGGAAAAAATCCCTCATCCCCGGAATTTTCCGGGTAACGGAAAAATTTTCTCTGAATTTCCGGAAAATGCACCTGAGTTTCATCTCTCAAACCCGGAAAAAACTCCCCCATCCCTAGAATTTTCAGGGTATTGGGAAAAATTTCTCGGAATTTTCTGGAAAATGTTCCCCTTGGAAAATTGTTCCCAAAGCCAGAATTTTTAAGAAAAATTACGGCTTTGGGAATGATTTTCCGAGAAAATTTCAATTCCGGTTATCGGAGAGTTCCGGGTTTAAGGGATTCCGGCTAACGGAGATATAACTGTAATACTTTAATAAAGAACAGTTCTGAATGGTCTTAAGAACAGTTCTCTTAAGATGATCTACTGTACTGTGTTTACCAACCCATATACTGTATAGTATTTGAAATTTTTGACAGAATAACAAAATTAACCTCAAATTATTTCAGAGGATTGTATCATGATTTAAGTATACTACTGTAGTTATTTTCATTAAGGTGTGTACAATACAGTACAGCATTCTAAGTAGACTGTACTGTACAGTACAGAGCTCTAAGTAGACTGTACAGTAGTTACAGAGCTCTAAGTAGACTTTACAGTACAGCAATGCCATGAGTCACCTTGTTTCAGTATTTAGTATTTCCTTACAAGTGTACTGTATTATGAAGTGGAGTTGTAACACTATCCAGAATATCCATAAGTGCAGTAATAAATTAGTTTATCTTGTAAATTCTCTTCCACATGTGACAGTTCTTCTCTTACAGTCTCTTCCACTTGTGACAGTTTTTCTCTTAGTCACTTCCACATGTGGCAGTTCTTCTTTTACATTCTCTTCCACATGTGGCGGTTCTTCTTTTACAGTCTCTTCCACATGTGGCAGTTCTTCTCTTACAGTCTCTTCCACTTGTGACAGTTCTTCTCTTACAGGCTCTTCCACTTGTGACAGTTATAATTGGGCGGAAGACACAGTCAGGGTTGTGCCGTATACAGACCCTCTCAGAGTTTGCAGATAAACCTCTACAAGTGGCATTCAAGACTCCCTCTTCATCAGCTCCTCTCACACGTGGCGCTCCCAACTGGGCAAACTACATTAAAGGAGTCGTTGCCAATTTTCCAGGTAATGCAGTCATAATAATAGCTGGTCTTTTACTTCTCAAAAGCGTCAGCTCTTCTAAATAATTCACTAGTGTTCGAAACACTACAAATTTAAAGACTTGAGAATAAAAAGAAATAATGTACTACAATAAAAGATCACAAAAAATTTCAGTTCGACCTCTGTTTGACTTCTAATAAATTATCCCAAATCAACCATTTTTAAAAATAAGAATTGAAAAAATAATAACGATAACGAAATAAATAAAAATAAGAAAAAACAGTAATACACAGAAAAATATTAATTGTCTCTTATTTCAATAATTCCTCAGTAAGTTTAGTTCGAAGTTCGCCCCACCCCGCCCCCCCCTGGCATATTTCTGTGTACAATACACCACTGCTTTTATCATTCATATACCTTTAAGTTGTAATATTTCCTAAACCCTGTAACTCCCCATCACCATACCCTGTTTAGGATCATAAGCTTTCAGAAGAGAAAGGTCTTAAGTTGTTTCTTAAAAGCCTCCACAGAAGTCAGCTGCTTCATGGATGCAGGCAACCCATTGTACAATCTGGGTGTTGTATTGTATAGGAAAAGGATTGAGAAGCAAAAGAACATTCCTGTACTGCTCTAGGTTAATAGCGACCAGAAAAAAGCAACTGATAATGAAATCACTTATAAAGGGGAATTAATTCCAATAAGAATTAATAGGAATAGGGTCTAATCGGGACCACCACATTGTAAGTGACACTCAAAAAGTTTAATTTGTTATCATGTAACATTTATTTATATATACCTTAGAAACATTTGTTTAACATTTTATTACACAATATTTTATGAAATTATTTAACTTTACAATTTATTTAATGTACTTAAAGTTGTTTGGGGTCAATGTGTTAATGGAGTACAAGCTACCTAACCACACACTTGCATACTCATTTCAATGAAAGTGGTTCATTGAGACAAGCTCACCACTTTTCTTACAACATGAAACTTCTAATTTCCTGTCCATCCCATTGCTACTATACCACCTTGTTTTGGTTTGGAACTGATGAATATAAAAATAGTCCACCAAAGACACAACAAAGTTGATAATTATACTTCTTGGAGCACTTGAAAATAATGCCTGTGGACATAGATGATTGGTACTGGGCATGAATAGTACAGGTGAAAAGGATGACCTTTAAGATAATGGAAAGTGGGCGAGAATTTCAATCGCTCAAATACTTAAGCTCCCAAAGATGGACGAATTTCAGCCTTAGAACTCTCTTGGCTGTGAGGACTTTTTACGTGTAGGTCCACAATTATTTGACCACTTACGTGCAAAACCACTTACAATGAAGACACTTATAACGAGGATCCCCTGTGTGTATATATACTGTATATAGGGGGTAACTGTCATAGGTGTTTTGTGTGTGCAGTGTGGCCTTACTCACCCTTAATACTAACCTCCCCTTCAGGAGATGTTAGTGGTTTTGATGCTGTAGTGACATCATCAGTGCCTCTTGGTGGTGGACTGTCTAGTAGTGCTTCACTCGAAGTAGCCACTTACACTTTCCTTGAAAGTATTACTGGGACAAAAGCCACAAGGTACAGTATGCATAATTATGTACACTTATCACGAATTTACATCACCCATTGAATTCTTCCACAGACTTACAGATCTCCAAGAATTTTTTCTATTCATCAGTTCACCCCCAAGTTGTGTAAATTAACAGTCAACAAAAAGATTGAGGGGTAAGAGTCATTAGAACTGGTTAGCTTTTCAGAGGTTAAGATGTGTGACAGCAAAACCCACCAGTTATTTTGACTGTCATGAAATAAGTCTGGTAGTTACAGAAATTATTGATTGAAAGAATAAAGACAGATATTAGAATTAAAATACATATATAGAAAGTACAATGACCTGGTAAGTGAAAGTTGTCACTACCAAGAGTTTGAATCCCAGGTTTTGACTAAGGTTGTTGAAGAACACTTGTGAGATAAGTTTAAAAAAAATATATATATATATTGTACTACATTAAAATGTTCCCTAAAGTATAGCAAGAAATGGTAACATCAATCTCTTCAGTTCAGTAATTACCATTTTAGGAACTGGCCACTGAAGATACATTGGCTTAATGCTACAGTCATGGGGATTATGTTAATATACAGTGTATACCATGCATGTATGTATGTAAGCATGTGAGAGTGTCTTAATGAAGGGGGCTGAGTTCTTGGTTCTACATTAGATAGGTTTAATGTATATTTTATGAAACGTACAGTAGTTTAGTAAAGTACAGGAGATTTAAAACCATGATGATGAAGTACAGTAATCAAATGTAATGCTCATAAAACAATACAGTATCATTTACCACTTATATATATATATATATATATATATATATATATATATATATATATATATATATATATATACTATATATATATATATATATATATATACCACATATATATCTCTCTCTCTCTCTCTCTCTCTCTCTCTCTCTCTCTCTCTCTCTCTCTCTCTCTCTCTCTCTCTCTCTCTCTCTCTCTCTCTCTCTCTCTCTCTCTCTCTCTCTCTCTCTCTCTCTCTCCTCTCTCTCTCTCTCTCTCTCTCTCTCTCTCTCTCTCTCTCTCTCTCTCTCTCTCTCTCTCTCTCTCTCTCTCTCTCTCTCTCTCTCTCTCTCTCTCTCTCTCTCTCTCTCTCTCTCTCTCTCTCTCTCTCTCTCTCTCTCTCTCTCTCTCTCTCTCTCTCTCTCTCTCTCTCTCTCTCTCTCTCTCTCTCTCTCTCTCTCTCTCTCTCTCTCTCTCTCTCTCTCTCTCTCTCTCTCTCTCTCTCTCTCTCTCTCTCTCTCTCTCTCTCTCTCTCTCTCTCTCTCTCTCTCTCTCTCTCTCTCTCTCTCTCTCTCTCTCTCTCTCTCTCTCTCTCTCTCTCTCTCTCTCTCTCTCTCTCTCTCTCTCTCTCTCTCTCTCTCTCTCTCTCTCTCTCTCTCTCTCTCTCTCTCTCTCTCTCTCTCTCTCTCTCTCTCTCTCTCTCTCTCTCTCTCTCTCTCTCTCTCTCTCTCTCTCTCTCTCTCTCTCTCTCTCTCTCTCTCTCTCTCTCTCTCTCTCTCTCTCTCTCTCTCTCTCTCTCTCTCTCTCTCTCTCTCTCTCTCTCTCTCTCTCTCTCTCTCTCTCTCTCTCTCTCTCTCTCTCTCTCTCTCTCTCTCTCTCTCTCTCTCTCTCTCTCTCTCTCTCTCTCTCTCTCTCTCTCTCTCTCTCTCTCTCTCTCTCTCTCTCTCTCTCTCTCTCTCTCTCTCTCTCTCTCTCTCTCTCTCTCTCTCTCTCTCTCTCTCTCTCTCTCTCTCTCTCTCTCTCTCTCTCTCTCTCTCTCTCTCTCTCTCTCTCTCTCTCTCTCCTCTCTCTCTCTCTCTCTCTCTCTCTCTCTCTCTCTCTCTCTCTCTCTCTCTCTCTCTCTCTCTCTCTCTCTCTCTCTCTCTCTCTCTCTCTCTCTCTCTCTCTCTCTCTCTCTCTCTCTCTCTCTCTCTCTCTCTCCTGCCTCTCCTCTCTCTCTCTCTCTCTCTCTCTCCTCTCTCTCTCTCTAAACCAATATACTATCTGATATAATCATACTTTAATAGAATGCCCACAAAGTAAATAAGATGGATTTAATTTAAAAAAATTTACGTTTTTAAACATTTTGAAATTTGTTTTTAAATGTGGTAATATTTCAGTTTGAGGGAGAAAGCTCTGGCATGTCAAAAAGCCGAGCATGAGTTTGCCAACATGCCGTGTGGGATCATGGACCAGTTTATCTCCACCATGGGAAAGCGAGGAAATGCACTGCTTATTGACTGCCGGTAAATATGTAAATACAGTACCTGCACTATGTAAAGTCACAATCAAAAGTTTCTTTATCCACACTGGCTGGAGGGAAGGCAAAGCTAAGTTTGATGAGAGGCCAGGCAAATGGATATACTACAATTGTTCATTAGTTTAGTGATGAGGCACAATGACGATGGGCATCACACACAGCACCTCAACACAGTCACTCGGGCAAAACACATGAGCACTTTATGAAATATTCAAAACATTGACATATGGTATTTTGGAATGGCTCTAATTATTTTATGAATATTAACATATAACAACAGGACAAAACATAGTGTATGGCCATTCACCTGACATTTTTCAACCTTGGCTTTGTTCATCCCTCCAGCCAGGGGGATAAAGGCACTTTGGATTGTGACAGCACTAACTATATACTGTAGGTATATGGTGAATCAGTGTGAACTTGTATGACGATTTTACTGAATATTATCAATCTATCTACCTATTATGGTAATAAAAGGATTGAAATATGAAAAAAAGGATGATCATACCTGTAGCATTGAAATTAAGGGTAAATTCATTAGAATGTACTGCAAGAGGAGAATTAGTTATATGTGTGATAGGGATTACTGTATATTCTATTCTCACTCAAATTTACACGCTGAGTCAACTTGGAACGAAATCTATGAATTTAGAAATACAGTACTGTACAGTAATTTAACCCTTAATCAAGCAATTATGAGAAGAAGGATGCAAGGTATTTTAATTTACTGTATGTGTCCATTCTTGACAGATCACTGGAGTCAACCTTAGTGCCTCTGACTGATCCCTCTATTGCCTTTGTCATCACCAATTCAAATGTTCGTCACACTCTCTCCGGAACGGAATATCCCACACGTCGTCGACAGTGTCAGGAAGCTGCCACTGTCATGGGAAAAAAGTGTTTACGTGATGCAACGCTTCAAGATTTAGAGAGTAAGCAAACATTGCCATTTTCTGTTCAGGATTTTTTTTCTATTGCCAGGTAAATTATGCTGTAGTCTATCATAATTAAGTCTAACTACCAGGTATGTACAGTAATATAATAATATATACTGTGGACTGTGTATAGTATAGTACTGTGCTGTGCTGTGCTGTGCTGTGCAGGGTACATGTACAGTATTTATTAATGTTTATGTAGAAAACAAGGGATTACCAGTAAGGAGTTGAAACATATGTATTGTAAATAATTAAACATCGGGGACAGTACAGTACAGTAGCTATGGGAGATGAATACAAACTGAGGTAGAGATTATCTAAGGTTGACTACAATATAATGTAGTTATAATGTAGTATGTAACTGAACAGTTTTAACAACCAACCTAGACCTCATTTGAAATGGAGAGTTAGGCCAGCAGCAAGATGAAAATGTGCAGTACGGTGTTTCCCCTCCCCACACTAATACTCCAAGGCTGATCTACCTTCTTTATTTATCTAAACTGGCAAAAAAATTATACTTTTCATTATCATACCAGTTGAAGACTTTATAATATAATTTACCGTATTATTAGTTGATTAAGGAAATTGTAATACAGTAGTTTAGTATGTTTCAGAGCACAGGTCATCTCTAAGTGAGGAAGTGTACAAAAGAGCTCAACATGCCATCTCTGAGATTCAGCGCACTGAGGAGGCCGTCTCTGTACTGAGGAACTCAGATTATACACTGTTTGGTAAAATGATGACTGAATCCCATAATTCCCTCAAGTGAGTGTATTATGTTGTAAATACAGTACTGTATACTGTAATGAGTTTCACCTGAAAGATTCTGAACTTTTGTAAATTATTACAGTGCTGTTTTTCCTTCAAGTCATGATGTATTACTGTATTATTATCTTTTGCCTTACTTAGTTAAAAGTTAACATTATCAGGCCAGAGTATCTTAAATTTATAGTGAAAAAAAATAAAATTAAGGAACATTGATTGTTGATCACAGAATTCAGCCTCTTCATGTATGGTTGTTGATCACAGAATTCAGCCTCTGCATGTTCAAGATGATAACAAATAATTTTTATTCTTCAGTGTGTTAGGAACATGAAATTTATGACCATATTCTTGTTCTCTTTAGAAATTGTACAGTACTGGCACAGTATAATAATTTACAGGGATGACTATGAAGTGTCCTGCTCTGAACTTGATGAGCTGGTGGCAGGTGCCTTGGAAGTGCCAGGTGTGTTTGGGTCAAGAATGACTGGTGGAGGCTTTGGTGGCTGTACTGTAACACTGGTAGGTGGATGAGAAAGTATTTTTAGGATTATTACATCTGGTAATATTACAGAAGACATATTTGTACTGTTTTAGTAATAAAATGAGAAACACTGGCAGATTTTTTTTTTCTCTATGGAATACGTATTAAATTTAATATTAATGACACATTGTCTTCAGTACAGTGTTAGGGTACGTCATATAAACCCAAAACTTAATCAGACTAATATAAAAAGTTTGTTTTCAGGTGAAACAAGAATGTGTTGACAGCCTCATCTCACACACACTAGAGAAGTACAGCGGTAAACCCACTTTCTATGTTTGTCTGCCCTCTGAAGGGACTCAGCAATTAGCTATCTAATATATAAATTTGCCACAATTACACTAAGTTACTTAAATTCTCAGTACAATGATTAAAACTAGTTGGTGCCATAATGACTAGGCTCTTGGATATTCAACATGTCTTCAGAGTTCTGTAATCATACGAGACCCCTCCCCTGATCTGCCCAGTCTTATATAATAGGTGTAAGCCTGTTTCAGTACACTGTATATTGGTTAACACATCCATGAATAACTTTATATACGATGTTATCTACTCTATGATGACTTTTGCTGGATTTCTGGTGAGATTATTAAACTGAATAAGCTATGTTTTTAAGAAAGTGATATCTTTGGCCAAATCTCTTTAGTCTCAATGTTAAAAATTTAATATGTACTGTGTTTATGAAGTTTGAAATACTTGAGTCAGTCTAAAGGACATAAATACAGTAATATGTTGATGTTCATAAAGTGAATTTATTCATAAGACAAAGGTGTCAGGAAAGTCTCGCTAAGATGTTAACTGTACTAAACAAATTTGCTTAAAACACTGTAATTTGCATTTTATTGTGAAACCTTTATATATAAAGTTATTCATACTATAGATTATTTAATCCTCTGTCACTTGTTACCTTATTAGTGGTTCAAGCAGAACTTTTGAATCTTGTAGAAATGTTAAATTGGTACAGTAAATAGGTTAGGGACTGAAGGCCCAGTTTGTAAGGGGTTGTTTGGAACCTGAAAGCTAATAGAAACAAAGTACAAGCACTACACTGTGATTATAGGGGTTAGTTTCTAAACCCCTTAAACAAACAATTTTTGCTCGAATTTAGCCTACAATAAAAATATGCACATACCTGTGACTTTCATTGCCATATACAGTAGTACTCTGATTTACGCGGTCAATTGAACCCACGGGGTACCACGGAAAGTGAAAACCGCGTAAAGTGAACAACAGAACATTTGGGATTAATTCCAATAAAGACTGGCCCGACCCCCAAACTCCACTTTTTCCGACACAATACCTATGTTGTAGTAAAAATAACATCTTAATTTTATGATGGTATGCACACACAATTAATATTTAAGAGAAATACAGTCGCCAGGTTAATGTCCATTCAAATAATGGACTCAAATCCACCCCCCCCCTCTTCCCAGCTCACTAGCTACTACCTCTCTGAGAAATGTTTGGGTGAAAACACTCGATTTTAACGTTTAGTAATAAATAATACCTCAGACTAAAGTTAGGATAATATAAATGACATTTCTGGATTCCTTGCAGGTCAGGGAATATTTTGCACAAAAGATAAAATATTTGCTTTGTGTAAACCAAATTATTACATTAGATCTAAAATTTGTATGTCTAATGCAAAATCCATGATGTTTATATTCAAAATGATCATCTTATTGTAAGAATTCCAGCAATGTAAATTATATTCTGGCCGGGTAATTTGTATGAATTTTATGAGCTAAAACAAATATCTTCAGTAAATAAACAAAGAAATATTCTTCAAGGACACTATCTGTCAATCAAAGTACCCCACCTGCCTCCCCCCCTCCTCACACTCAGCCAGCTGGGTTGGTGGGTCCCAACCCTCCCCTCCACCCCCCACCTTCCCTCCCTACCAGAGAAATGATTGGGTGAAAACACTAGATTTTAACATTTAGTAATAAATAATACCTCAGACTAAAGTTAGGATAATATAATTGACATTTCTGGATTCCTTGCAGGTCAGGGAATATTTTGAATGTAAACTTCATATATTTTGCACAAATGATAAAATATTTGCTTTGTGTATACCAAATTATTACATTAGATCTAAAATTTGTATGTCTAATACAAAATCCATGATGTTTATATTCAAAATGATCATCATATTGTAAGAATTCCAGCAATGTAAATTATATTTTGGCCGGGTAATTTGTATGAATTTTATGAGCTAAATAAAAAATAAAAAAAATTATACTTCACCGTGTATATGAGTAGATGCACCGCGGAAAGTGAAAGTTTGGTTCTGGCAAGGTACCGCGTAAATGAGAAATCGCGGAAAGTGAAACCGTGTAAAGCGGGGTAATACTGTACTGGTAGTTACTAAATAAAACATTGTGTTTATCAGCAGATTCCCTTAAACGCTGCTTCATTTTACCTTCCAACTAAAAAAAAGAAGGTAATTATAACAAACCATAAATGTAAATTAATTTCTATCTCTAGTCATGCCACACCTGTATATTACCAGTCAAAATATTATCAATAAACTTACCGGTGCTTATCCTCATTGCCACAGCTTGGACCTGAAAATATTTTGGTTCTGTCACATCCCTTTGGTTAACACTGAGTGCTGTATGCCTTCACTAGTCACTACTGAATACCATACAACAGTTGAGTCATAATTCAGTATAATGTAGTCTGAAATTTATTACCAGTACAGTACAGTATTCAATCATGTCACTCCTTCAGAACTTCACTGCTGTTCTAAGTTATTCCCTTACGCTTGTATAGCTTTGGAACAAAATTAAATTATTTACTCCTCCAGAGCTTCAAAACAAGATTGAATCCTTCCGTCAATCTTTTGTAACTTCAGGGGCGCATCCAGAGGGGGTTTCCTGGTTGCTCGGAACATCTGTGTGAGGCTATAGGTGTGAAACCTTCCATGCCCAGACAACACGTCAGCTGATGGACCAGCTGAATACTACAAGAGAACGGTCACCATTCCACTCCCTGACCATCTCCTGACAGAGCTGGAGATGAGGTTTACCCCCTGCACCAAAAGGCCTTCCAAGGACTTAGCATCACCCCGTCCATCTTAGTAACTCTGACAGTAGCAGATGGCAGCAGAAGAATACAAGAGCTGGTTGACCTCTACTGGGAGGACCTGCCATCCCCTGGTAGCATCAAGAGTGAAGTACACACCTGGCGTGTCAGGTGGGAGAAAAAAGCCAAAGAACAGGGTCTCACCAATCTTCCAACAACGTACACTGGCCTCTACTCTCTCTCAGACACAAGGTTCCTCGTTCCCCAATATGAGGTCCCTGCTCATTATTATGTACTATCATGCACCAAAGTCGTGTCCACTACCCAGCCACAGTGAGGGTTCGAATTGCCTTGAGTCTGAAGTTTCGAAACAGCTGGGGCAAATGCTATGGTCGGCCAACAGATGTCGCCCGCTGTAGTGTGTGGGGGGGGGGTGGAATAGAGGAGGTGGGGGTTAGTCTAGTAACAGGCTGTGTGTAGGTGGAGCATAACATCGTGAATTCCGCAATCACTGATAACAATAAGAATGTCATGAAGATAGTTAATATTATTAAGCATGGTGAGAGATGTGTAACGGGTAAATAAAAGCACTACAATGACCATATCTCTGCCGTTCATGGCTACGGCGGTGCGAATGATGGGCACACCAGTGATTAATTCTCCGTGACTACCATTACTGGTAGTCACGGAGAATACACAAGTTGTTACCAAGGTTGGCGCCACCCACACCAGGGGAAGGAGGTGATGTCGAACACTGAAACATGCGGTCCTACTCGTTGTCCAACAATTGAAGTCACAGTAATTTGTCGCATAGCCCATATGTCATATATACTGGGTGTCCATGGTGACATCAAATATTTGTAGAGGTGGAAGTAATGGGTTGAAAATGTTCTACACATAAGCATTTTGGTTTTACTTTAGGCGTGGGGTGAGTTATAAAAATTACATAGGGCAAAATTTTCCCTGTTATATTTATTTTCTTACCAATGCAGCCATACTATATTGCTGTTGTAATCATAATTGGATTACATAAGGCCTATTAATAGTGTGAAAACCAGTTACAAGATACTGAAATGTTCCTAGCATTGCATTCTCATCCAGGTTCCAACTCAGCAGCCTAGCCTCCCCCCCGCCTCTACCCACCCAACAAAACCTTAATTTGAGCATCGTGGGTTACCACACCTGAACACTACTAATCGACTACTTATTCTCTCCCCACTCCCCCTCCACCATCCCCCTCCCTCTTCCTCCTCTTCCATCATCCTCCCCAAGACTACAAATCAATCGAACATCCCATCACATTACCTTCTGCATTCTAACCCCTCCCCCTATTCTCCCATGGCAATGATTTGGACTACTGTAATGAACACTCACAGAACTGACATGGCTCTCTATGTATTTTAGGTTAAAACCTTTACAACAAAGGTCAATCGTTACTTGAACCGGATTAAGATATGTGGAAAAAAAAAAAGCAACTCCCATAGCCACCCCTACCAACCTAAAATCATAACCACCATGTCTCTATCTCCATCCGTTTCCCTCTATCTATAATAAAAGTGTAACCCTACTCAGAAAAAAATAATGAATGGTCCTCCAAACAAATTAAGATGGGGTGCCCCACCCAAATAGGGATGGGCCCTCCATTTCCTTTCCTTCTTTTCTCCATCCTTTCCTCCTCCCATCGCCCAGCCACCTACCCAATGCCATACAGTGGACAGAAAGGCCACACACTTTCTCTCTCTCATCCTAAAGTCTGTTCCGTTTAACCCACATTCTTTCCACTACTAAACCTTCTTCCCCTTTCTATATTTACTCGGTGTCGGTATCTACTTTCTCGACTCCGCCATTTGTAATAGTTTGCCTTGATAATTTGTAAATCCACCTCACATTCGTAAATGAAAAAAATCCATATGAATAAGTTTTATACTCAGAATCATATTCTTTCACCTCTACAAATATCTGCTGTAATTAGTGGGACTCCCTATTATAATTATATGACCAGTTGTTATATATGGGCTCTTAGTTAACTTCACCATAAAATATGGTGTTTGATGTCTATATCGTTTGGTGGTCGCATATTCGCCGTTATACTCGGTTATTGCAACGTGGGTTGGTATTTTGAATGGAATTCGAACGACTCAATGAACATGAAAAACGTTTTATTGAACCCTAACTGTGATTATATATAACTGGGATGAACATGTAACTGAAAATTGTCAAAAAAAATATAAAGTAGTGGAAAACCATATATTTTGATTATCGGAGGGCTAACTATATAAACAATTAATATTTGTTGGCGATTAAAAGTCCTGGGAAAATGAACCAACAAGTCAATAAGCTAAAATGATCAAATCAGTTTATCCTTGGTCATCATCAACATTCCTCTCAACATCACGAAACTATTCTAGATAGTCTAAGAATGGGCATACTCTGATTAGCGGACAGCCAACTCGTGTATTCCCTAATGGGCCCATCTTATGCTCCAACTGCGAACACAAACAGCAGTCAACATATTCTCATTGAATGCCCTGTTATAATAGATTATCATTACAATGTGCTTCACAATATTCTAATATATGAATATTTTGTAGAGACCCCAAAAATTTCCCTAAGTTTCAGTTTCTCTTTTTTGAAATACTGTAATCTCTATAAATATACAGTAACACTAAATTAAAACACAAATATATGTTAACTAATCCCCTGGCCAGCCCTAGGAGGGCCAAATGGGTGTCAGTGGTCTGGTTAAACTAAAAAATGATGATGATGATTATCAGCGAATGTTCACTCTGATGGAGGTTTGGGGGTTGGGAAGATCCATTTGCAATTCACTATGAATACATAGGAGGAAGGGTTCTTGGTAGTTGATCCAAAAATATACCAAAACGTTATGTCAGAGTAATAATACTTATAGGTGTTACTAATACCATTAATTTACTCTAGTATATAAAAGCCTGCATCAGTTACCACAACATAATATTACTCTGCCATTTCAGATATGACTGGAAGGACAAATTCGTCAGCAGTGGTGGTTGCTGAAACCCAGCCAAATCATCAAGATGAGCCAGAACCTGTGCAACGACATTGATCTCTCAGTGGGGCACAAA